TACCCATTCAGGCCCCGCAGCCATATCCTGAAAGGTGTGGAGGGTTCTTCCTCCTGGAGAGCTGACCCCCCTGAGGCCTCCCCGGCTTATTGGGGGAAGAGGCGGAGGTAGCAAGAGGGGAGACTAGACATAAAACGTAACCAGTGTGGTCACCCAACGTCTAAAAGAAATAGGGGTGAGAGCTAGATTTTTATGTGAAATCCAATTTTCAAATCCTAGTAACTTAAAAACTGCATAAACATCAAGAAAAGGCCACAAAACCCATCACTGGCTTGTACCCTCATACGTGGGATTTCAACAGGTAGAATGGGTGCTGGAGGGCAGCCTGGAGGTGAGAGCCTGTAGTCAGTCAGACACCTCAGCGTGGTGTGTAAAGGCCGGTGATGAGGTGGGAAGCTAGGAGGTACCTGAGCGGCAGGCTAGGGGCCGGGTTGTTTGGAGGTAATAGGCGCTCTGGGAATGCCCAGTGACTGAAATGGGGGCCTGGCCTGGGAGGCCTCCTCCGCCCTGGGGCCGGCTCACGCCTTCTCCTGCTGCCCTGCCAGCGGTACCTGGACGAGGCCGAGCGGGAAAAGCAGCAGTACATGAAGGAGCTGCGAGCTTACCAGCAGTCGGAAGCCTACAAGATGTGCACCGAGAAGATCCAAGAAAAGAAGATCAAGAAAGGTGAGGAGCCGAAACCCGTTTGGCTCAGTGGATAGAGCGTCGGCCTGCGGACTGAAGGGTCCCGGGTTCGATTCCGGTCAAGGGCATGTACCTTGGTTGCGGGCATATCCCCAGTGGGGGGTGTGCAGGAGGCAGCTGATCGATGACTCTCTCTCATCGATGTTTCTAGCTCTCTGTCTATCTCCCTCTCTGTACAAAAATCAATAAATTAAAAAAAAAAAAAAAAAAAAAAAAAAAAAAAGGTGAGGAGAGCCCCAGCCCCCGGCAGCTGAGCGCCTCGCCTGCTCTGAGGGGTGAGCCTGGAGACCCCTCGCCTCCAGGGGGTTCACCTGGGAGGTAGAGGAGGCGGGCGTTCCAGGCAGTCAGAGGAGATGGGGAGGCTGACCCTGCCCTCCTCCTTCCTCCACCAGAGGACTCGGGCTCCGGGCTCATGAACACCCTCTTGAATGGACACAAGGTAAGTCCCTCCTCCGAGAAGCGCCCTGGGTGAGAAAGGTCTGGAAGCCTTTAGGCCCCTGTGTGAGGCCCCAGTGAGCTCGCACCAAGGCTCATGGGAAGTGAATGGCCGGTCCATCCTGTGTAAGTAGGGCGCCACCCCCTGGGAATGTTAAACAGGCTCGGACCTCAGTGGCTCCAGGAGAGCCCCCCCCCCCCCCCCCCCCCCCCCGCCCCAGGCGGATGTCCCAAGAGCATCTGGATGCCCCTCAACATAAACATTGCCCCTTGTCTGTGCCAGGGTGGGGACTGCGATGGCTTCTCCACCTTTGATGTCCCCATTTTCACTGAAGAGTTCTTGGACCAAAACAAAGGTGAGCACCACTGGGGTTCTTGGGGGAACAGGTGTTGGGAGAGAGACCAAAAGAGGGCTCCCCGGCAGGAGGGAGGGAGGGGAGTATTTACCCTAAAGCCAAGCCATCTTCCTCGCCTGTCCCGCAGGCCCGGAGCTAAAGGACGGGGCTGTGGGCAGAGCCGTGCCTTAAGGCCTGGTGCAGGCACAGCCCGCGCAAAGGCCTGGCAGAGGGGGGGGGGGGGGGGGGGAAGGGCGGAAGTGCCAGCTCTGACCCGGCTCCCGCTGCAGCTCGGGAGGCGGAGCTGCGGCGCCTGCGGAAGATGAACGTGGCCTTCGAGGAGCAGAACGCGGTGCTGCAGAGGCACACGCAGAACATGAGCAGCGCGCGCGAGCGGCTGGAGCAGGAGCTGGCGCTGGAGGAGCGGCGGACGCTGGCGCTGCAGCAGCAGCTCCAGGCGGTGCGCCAGGCGCTCACCGCCAGCTTCGCCTCGCTGCCCGTCCCCGGTGCGAGGCCCGCCCCGCCCGCCGGAGTCCTGCCCCCGCCAACCCCGCCCGCCGGAGTCCTGTCCCCCTAACCCTGCCCGCCGAAGTCCTCTCCCTGCCAACTCCGCCCGCCGGAGTCCTGTCCCCCTAACCCTGCCCGCCGAAGTCCTCTCCCTGCCAACTCCGCCCGCCGGAGTCCTGTCCCCCTAACCCTGCCCCACCCCAAACCCCACCGGTCACCACCAGTCATGTCCCGGTGTCTCCGCCTCCTTTCCCAGCCCTCCTTACCCCATGGACCCACTCCATATATGACACCTCCCTACCCCAAACATTGCCCGCACCCGCCACTCCGCACCCCAATCCCTGTCCCAAGCCGCCCCGACCACCCCCGCTCCACGGACCGCCCGCAGCTCCTGTTGGCGCTGCTGCCCCACCCTCCTGACCCATGCCCATGCCAGCCCCTCTGTCACTGACCCCATCCGTCCCGCCTTTAGTTGTCTTTGGCTGATTTTGACTAATTTTCTCTCCCCGAGTAGACCCCATACCTCCCACCACAACCTGTCCCTAGCCAACATCTTCTGACCCGCTTCTCACAGCTGACCTTGACTCTCAGGTCCAGGCGCCCCGACCCCCCTCATTCAACCCCCACGGACACGCGCCAAGGGCCCCTTCCCCAGGACGCCTCCCTTACAGACCCCAATCTGTGGCGGGGGTTCCCTGGAGCCCCAGCCACAGCTCCTCCAACGCTGGGCTCGGCTGACCCGTCCCCTGCCCCCAGGCACCGGCGAGACGCCCACGCTCAGCACGCTGGACTTCTACATGACGCAGCTGCACGGCGCCATCGAGCGCGACCCGGCCCAGCACGAGAAGCTCGTGGTCCGCATCAAGGAGATCCTGGCCCAGGTGGCCAGGTGTGTGCCGGGCTGCCCCCTGCTCAGCCCTGGTGTGGTGGCCCGGAACGCGGGACTGCTCAGGCTAGACCTACCGTGGCCTGCATTTCCCTCCGGTGGGATTCTGGAAAACCGTGGGCGCTGTGGGGGCGGGACAAGCAGCCGGACCTTGTTCTGGGGGTCCCGCCCGCTTGGCATTAACCAGGTGGGACTTATTTGGTGCTTGGGGCAGGAGCCTAATGGCGGAGCCTCCAGCGCAGCGGTGCTGTGTTAATGCTGCTGGTGGGATCGATCCGCCAGCCCCCCTTGGCCAGCTGGTCTCACTTAGGGGGGCTAGACTTTCTCCAAAACTTCTTGGCAATTTATTCTGGGTGTTTCCTGGCTCCCCGGGTTAGATGGGGTCAACTCCAGGCCCCTACCCTGCTCTGTTTGGAGCTGCCTAAGGAAGGGGCCCCTGGTGTCCCCTGGGATGGTGGTGGGGCCTGAGATGACGAGTCCCCAGTCATGACGCCCCTCCTCTCTCCTGTTGCAGTGAGCACCTATGAAGGTGTCGGTCAGCTCGTGGGGATCCAGAGAAGACCAAGCTCTGCCCTGGCCCCACCCCATGGAGGAGGGATGGGGGCCCACCTTTTGGGGCCAGGCCCAATCCTGCACCTTGGGAGCTCAGCCCCACCATCCCCTGGCTTTCAACCTCCCCAGTACCCCAAATCCAGAAAAGTCACCCAACATGCACAACACACAGAACCCATGGCCTCATAGAGCATGTCATACTACAGGGATGTGGGGACACCACACATGGGCAGCATGACCCAGGACACAAGGGGACCAACAGCAACTCAGCATTGGTGTGGGGAGGGTGACACCGGCTCCAGTGGCTCTAGGGATCTGCCCCAGCCCACAGGCAGAGGAAACCCATACCCGACACAGGGAGGGACTCCCCGAAGGTGCTGACCACAGTGCCCCACGCAAGCAGGCACACTGCGGACATGCTGTCCTACGTGTGAGAGCCTTCTGCCTGTGGCCCTCGGCTTCCTGCACCTCGGAATGGAGTAACATACTGATCCCTGCCCTCCAGCTAACGGACCGTCATGAAGGTGGCCCATTGCCACTGCTTAATCTGGACTTTTAAATTAAAAAAATAAAATAAAGTAGAATTTGAATTTCAAGTTTGTGTGTGTGTTGTTTTTTAAAATATATTTTACTGATTTTTTACAGAGAAAGGGAGAGGGATAGAGAGAAACATAGGTGAGAGAGAAACATTGATCAGTTGCCTCCTGCACACCCCCTACTGGGGATGTGCCCACAACCAAGGTACATGTCCTTGACCAGAATCAAACCTGGGACCCCTCAGTTCACAGGCTGACGCTCTAGCCACTGAGCCAAGCCAGTTAGGGCTCTTGTGTGTGTTTTTGTAGGGGGTTGAGCCAGAAGATGTGCCCAGGGTGCCCAAGATGCTCCCAGGCCTGCCCTCCCCCGGCCCCTGGCACCCAGGAATCTACTTTCTGTCTCTGCATTGGCCTGTTTTGGACATTCCACATGAGGTCACACACTCTGACCTTTTGTCTGGCTTCTCTCACAGCTGTTTATTCAGGCCCATTCACATTATAGCAAGTGTCAGTGCTTCACTCCTTTTCTGACTGAGTAATATTCCAGTGGGTGGATGGACATTTGAGCTTGGCCATTGTGGATTGTGCTGCTGTGAACACATTCAGCATTCATGTACAGGTTTTTATTTGAGTACCTGTTTTCAATTCTCTTGGGTCCATCACCAGGAGTGGAATTGCTGGGTCATATAGTAATTTTATGCTTAACTTATTGAGGAAACTCTGAGGCTTCAGGGTTAGTGGAATATTTAAAACATTCTAGCCCTAGCTGGTTTGGCTCAGTGGATAGAGCATGGGCCTGTGGACTAAAGGGTCCTGGTTCCTGATTCTGGTCAGGGCCAACGAATCCAGATTGTGGGCTAGATCCCCAGTAGGGGGCGTGCAGGAGGCAGCCAATCAATGATTCTCACCATTGATTTTTCTATCCCTCCCCCTTCCTCTCTGAAATCAATAAAAGTAAACAAAACATGCTAAAACTTTTGGAGACTCATTTGACCAAGACCCATGCTACGGATTGAATTACGTCCCCTGAAAAGATATGTCCAAGTCCTTACCCCAGGCCTCAGAATGTGACTTTATTTGGAAATAGGGTCAGTGGAGATGTAATTAATTAAAAGATGAGATCATGTTGGAGTAGAGTGGGCCTGATCCAGAGTGACTGGTGTCCTTATAAGAGGATGAAAATGTAGACACAGACACAGAAAGGAGACAGCTATGTGATGACAAAGGCAGACACGGGAATACCGCAGGCTGTGAGGAATGCCAGGGATCCTGGCCCCCACCGGAAGTTAGGAGAGGCAAGGAGGGATCCTGCCAGGGTCTGGGAGCGCCGATAACTTGATTTTGGGCTTCTGGCCTCTGGGACTGTAAATAATAAATCTGTTTAAAGCCACCAGTTTGTGGTACTCTGTTGTGACAACCCTTGGAGACTGATACAACTGGATATTGTCAACTCCCCATCCCAGGTGTGAGCTCCTGGCACAGGAATCTCCATCCCAAATTTGGAGCTTCATTCCTGGGCAGGTCTTTTACATCCTTTTAGCACATGAGTGCGTCTTCCTGAAAGAGTGCCATTTGGATCGTTTTGGGTTTCTTTTCATTTTTTTAAAAAAGGTTTTAATGTGTACAATTCTGTGGTTTCCAGTGTACTCACAAAGTTGTGCAACCACTGGCACAATCTAATTCCAGAACATTCCATCACTCCAAAAAGAAGCCCTGTTGCGCTAAGCCCGTGGTCCACAAACTGCGGCTCGCGAGCCACATGCGGCTCTTTGGCCCCTCGAGTGTGGCTCTTCCACAAAATACCATGGCCTGGGCGAGTCTATTTTGAAGAAGTGGCCTTAGAAGAAGTTTAGGTTGAAAAAATGTGGCTCTCCAAAGAAATTGTTGAAGAATGAGTTTGTGACCACTGCACTAAGCAGTCACCCCCAGTCCCTCTCTCCAGGAATCCACACCCTGTCGCTGAGCATGTGCCTGTTCTGGACATTTCACATACATAGAACCTCACACTGTGTGCCTTGTGTGTCTGGCTCATCCATGTTGCGGTGTGTGTCATGTTTTGTAGGCTTTAAAAGTTCACGTACATTTTCTTACATCACCCAGAGCCTTTCCCATAATGTCCGGATTCGGAGATTCCTCCAAGGCGGGAGGTCCTCTTTTTCACCGGGTAGAGCATTCCTCCGCTGCTCACTGAGCCAGATTTCCTGATGCCGCGAGTTCTATTCCCAGGGGATTCTCACCGAGGCCTCCTGGTGCCCGAGCCTCCTTCTTCCTCTGTAACCTGGGGTCCATTTATTACCTCATCAAATACCGCCCGAGGACCTGCTCCCTGCGTCCTGGCCCCGGGCCCCCTTAGACAGGGGAACAAGAGACCAGAACCCCTGCCCTCCTGGAGCTGACATTGCAGTTGGGAAGACAAGACACAGAAGGATAAGTAAAAATCATCTGGTTTGTCAGTGATGCCCAGTGCTGGGGAGAAAGAGAAAGCTGGGAAGACAAATCGAGGTAGCTAGAGGAGGTGACATTTGAGCAAAGAGCGGAAGGAAGTGAGGGAAGGAACCACCTGGAGATGTGGGAGAAGAGGCCCCGGGTGGGGCAGAGGGTACAGCACAAGCAAAGGCCCTGGGGCAGGACTGTGCCCTCCCTGGGAGTCCAGGAACAGCTGAAGCCCTCGTGAGCGAGGAGGAGAGAGCGAGGACAGGGATGGAATGGGGGCAGGTCGTGCGAGGCCATCTGGGCTGGGGAAAAACCCCACTTTTGCCGTGAAGGAGGAGGGAGCTCTGGAGGGTGGTGGGCAGAAGGACAGATGGGTCTCAGGTTATACCAGGGTGACCTTACTTCCACCTCCCAGGGCTGATGCAAGGATTAAAGGAGGGCTTGCAGAGTGAGCTCTCGGCGCGTTCCGAGGTCCCACTCCCTTTTTGTGATCCGTTTTTCCCGCTGTCCAATGCAGGCCCCGCGCAGCACCCAGCCTCCTCGGGGAGCGCGCAGCTGGCCCTGGCGGGGCCTGGACACCTGGGGCGGCCCCCCTCCCGGCACCCCGCGGTGTCGCCTTCCCGGGCGGCTCGGGTTCCTGGATCCCCTTACCCGGGCAGCTCGGCTGTCGCGCCCTGGGCCGGGGGAGGGGAGGGAGGCGGCAGGAAGCAGCGGATCCGGCGGTGGCGGCGGCGGCGGCGGCGGCCCGGGTCGCCCAGCTCCTCCGGCCATGGAGAGCGCCGCGGCCCGCGAGGCCCGGGGGGCCGAGGCCCCGCGCCCGCCCGTGCCCGCGCCCGCGCCCGCCGAGCCCCCCGCCGCGCCCCGCGCCCGCCCGCGCCTGGTCTTCCGCACGCAGCTGGCGCATGGCAGCCCCACCGGCAAGATCGAGGGCTTCACCAACGTCCGCGAGCTCTACGCCAAGATCGCCGAGGCCTTCGGGATCGCGCCCACCGAGGTGAGGCCCGCGGACCGCCGCGCCCGAGCCCCGCCGGGCGGACCGGGGGTAAGGCGGGTGGAGCTTGGGCCCTGGACTGGACCCCTGGGCCCGGGATCTCCGGGTCGCACCACTCAGACCCGGCGGTGCCCATGCACCGGGGACGCCCCGTCTGAGCGGCTGCACCGAGGAGGAGCGGGTCTAAGGGGTTAGGGAGACCCTAGCTCGTCCGGGAGCTCGCTCCACCCACCAGCTAAGGTGGATCCGGCCCTCGGGGAAGCGCGTCTGCGGCTCCCGGCGCGCCGGGGGCTGGGGCTCCAGGCAGCACCTTCCCGGCGGTAGATCCGTCGGAGGAGGCCCGGGTGATGGGCTGCGGAGCGGCGCGCCTTGCAGCCCCCAGGGGGCGCCGGCGGACGCAGAATGGCCGGGAATAGATGATGGGGGATCAGGGCACCGAGGGGCTGCAGCTGGAAGTGTTGGGGTGGGAAAGGAGGGCTCTTCCTCCTCGTCCTGCCCCTCATCCTGGGGGCCTGTCTCCTCACCCCGCACCCCTGCAGATCCATCCCACGGGCTGGGCTCCTAGGCTCCAGGTGGCTGGGCCAGGGTGGGTGCTGGAGCCCATCCCCTCCGGCTCCCAGGCAGTGGGGAGGGAGCGCCGGCATTAACTCTACACCCCCGTCCCCCCACCCCCGGCAGATCTTGTTCTGCACCCTGAACAGCCACAAGGTGGACATGCAGAAGCTCCTGGGCGGCCAGATCGGCCTGGAGGACTTCATCTTCGCGCACGTGCGCGGCGAGACCAAGGAGGTGGAGGTGACGAAGACGGAGGACGCCCTGGGACTGACCATCACGGACAACGGCGCGGGCTACGCCTTCATCAAGGTGCGCGGTGTGTGTGTGGGGGGGGGGGGGGCTTTCCGGGGCTCCGCCCCGTCGAGGGCGGGGCGAGCTCTGCCCCTCGCAGGTCTGAGTGGGCTCTGCGGGGGCGGGCCGGGCCGGGGCGGCCCCTGGAGTGACTCTGGGTCCCCGCAGAGGATCAAGGAGGGCAGCATCATCAACAGGATCGAGGCCGTGTGCGTGGGGGACAGCATCGAGGCCATCAACGACCACTCCATCGTGGGCTGCCGCCACTACGAGGTCGCCAAGATGCTCCGCGAGCTGCCCAAGGCCCAGCCCTTCACCCTGCGCCTGGTGCAGCCCAAGAGGGCCTTCGGTGAGGGCTTGGGGGCAGGCGGGGCGGGGCAGGGGGTTCCTGGGGAAGTGGGCTCTCTGGATGCGGGGGACAGTGGAGGATGGGGGGGGGGGGAATAGGGTAGGATGGAAGGTTCTAGATGCCTCTGGTGCCATGGCAGGGAACAGGTAGGTAGCCTCTATACTGTTACAGTCTAATGGGGATGGGGGAGTTTGGGAAAATGGAGGAAGGACGAGGAGGTGTTTAGATCTATTGTGTCACTTGGTGGGGGCTGCTTTAGAGCTATGAGTGTAAGGGGGCCTTTGAAGGATAAGAAAGTTCTAGAACGTCTCAGCGGGTGGCTTCCCAGGGTTTACAGAGAGTGGATCCGCCCAGAACACGTGCCCCTCCGCCACTCTGTCCCCTCCAGACATGATCAGCCAGAGGAGCCGGAGCAGCAAGTGCCCCGTGGAAGCAAAAGTGGCCAGCGGGCGGGAGACCCTGCGGCTCCGCTCTGGGGGGGCTGCCACAGTAGAGGAAGTGGTGAGTGAAGGGGAGAGGGGCCTTCCGGGACTGGTACCCCCACAGCCCTACCTCTGAGTCAGCGTGGCCTAGGGTAAGACCTCCACACAGCGCCATTTTCCCCTCCTGCAAAACGGGTCTTCGGGTGAGGCAGGGCAGTGGTGGTTGCACAGAAGCATTGGCACAGGAGTCCCAGCCCGCTGGTACCCAAAGGGTGGAGCCTGGGAGGGGGCTGGGCCGGAGGGGTGTGGTTCTGACCGGCTGCTTTGTCCCCCACGCCCTAGCCCAGTGAGTTTGAGGAGGAGGCCTCTCGGAAGGTGGATGACCTGCTGGAGAGCTACATGGGCATCCGGGACCCAGAGCTGGGTAAGGGGCCAGGGTAAGCCGGCGGACCCTGGGGGGAGGTAGGGCCCCAAGGGGAAGCTGAGGTCCCAGCGCGCGCTCACCCACTTTCCTTCCCACCCGGGCAGCGTCCACCATGGTGGAGACGTCCAAGAAGACAGCGAGCGTTCAGGAGTTTGCACGCCGTTTAGACTCCGTCTTGGGCGAGTTCGCCTTCCCGGACGAGTTTGTGGTGGAGGTGTGGGCGGCCATCGGGGAGGCCAGGGAGGCCTGTGGCTAATTTGCTCCGGGGCCGAGCGCAGCCCCAGTCCGGAGCCCAGTCCCCTGCCCCAGCCCTGCAGGCTGGTTCCTGAAACCCAGCCCTGCTCCAGAGCCCAGCCCAGACCCGAGACACAGCCCCCCTCCAGAGCCCAGGTCCCCTCTAGAGCCCATTCCAGTCCCGAGACCAAGCCTAGTTCTGAGACCAAGCCCTGCTCTGGACTCCAAGCCAGCTCTGAGGCCAGGTTCACCTTTAGAGCTTCTTCTGGTTCTGAGACCCAACCCAGCTCTAGAGCCCAGGCAAGCTCTGAGACCAAGTTCAACTCCAGAACCCACACCAGTTCGGAGACCAAGCCCAGCTCTGAAACGGAACCCGGCTCTAGAGCCCAGCTCAATCCCGAGACCAAGCCCAGCTCTGAGGGCAAGCCCTGTTCTCGGTCACGGGCCAGCTCTGAAGCTAAGTTCGTCTCTAGAACACAATCCAGTTCTGAGACCCAACCTAGCTCCAGAACCCAGCCCAGTTCCAAAGCCCAGCCCACCTCCAGAACCCAGGACAGCTCGGAGGCCAAGCCGAGCTTTGGCATTAAGTCAAGTTCTGGGACCCAGACAAGTTTTAAGAGCCAGGCCAGCTCTGCGGTCAATGCCAGTATCGGAAGCCAGCCCGGCTCTGTGACCGAGCCCTGCCATAAAACTCAACCCGACTCTGGAACTCAAGAGAGCTCTGTAATACTGCCAGGCCTGGACACCCAGTTTAGTCCAGGAACACCAGTTAGCTCTGAAACCCAGGTGAGATTTAAGAATCAGCCCAACTACAGAAGCCACTCCAGCTTAGGATTCAAAGACAGCTCCCAAACTCAACCCTATTCACGGACCCAGACCAGCTCAGGAACCCAGGTGCAGGTGGCAGGTCAGCCCAGATCCCAACCCTGCTCTAAAACTCAGTTTCACTCAAGTCTCCGCCCCCATTCTGGGGCCCAGTCCAGCTCCAGCGAGGAGTCCAGCTGGGAAACTGAGCCCAGCGCTAGATCCCAGCCCAGTGCCACAGCCAGGCCCGTCTCTAGAACTCAAACGAGCCCTGGGACCTCATCCATCTCCGAGGTAAGGCCTGTCTCCACAGCCCAGCTTGATGCTGGGCCCCACTCTCACTGCAGTACGAAGACCAGCTCTAGAACACCCTCCAACTCCGGGGCCCAGACCAGCTTCAAGGACTGGCCAGGTTCCAGGGCCCAATCCAGAGGAGGCACCCAACCCAGTTCTAGAAATCAGCTCAGTTCTGGAGCACAGCCTGTCTTTGAAATCTCACCGAGCTCCAACACACAGCCAGGTGCTGATACCGAGTTGAGTTCCAGAATCCAGCTAAACTCTAGTGCTGGGACCCAGACCAATGCAATGACAGACGTAAGCTCTAAGAGTAGGCCCAGCTCCAGGACCCAGGCCGGCATGGCTCAGTCAACTTCTGGGACTCAGCTCACCTCTAGAGTCCAGTTCAGCTCTGGGACTCAACTCAACTCTGAAACCCCCACCAGCTCAAGAACACAGCCCAGTTCTGGAACCCACCTAAGTTCTAGAATCCAGCCTATTTCCGGAACTAAGCCCAACTTCAGAACCCAGACAAGTGCTGGAGGCCAGCTTGGTTCTGAGACCAAGCCCAGTTCTGGGGCCCAGACCAGTGCAAGAATTCAGCCCAGCTCTGGAGCTCAGCTCGGCTCTGGAACCCAGTCTAGCTCTGAGACCTGGCTTAGCTCTGAAACTCAGCTCGGCTCCAGAACCCATCTTAGTACCAGGAACCAGGTTAGCTCTGAGAGCCAGCCCAGCTCTGGAACCCAGACCAGTTCAAGAATGCAGCCCAGCTCTGGCACCCAAATCAGTTCCGGAACCCAGCCTGTTTCTGAAACCCAAACCAGTTCCAGAACCCAGACCAGTTTTGGAACCCAGCTCAGATCAGAGAACCAGCCCAGCTCAGACACCCAGCCCAGCTCTAGAACCATGACCAGTGCAAGAATTCAGCCCAGCTCTGGAGCCCAGCTCAGTTCCAGAACCCAGCCCAGCTCTAGGATTCAGTTCAGCTCTGAGACTCAACCCAGTTCTGAAACTCAGGCCAGCTCAAGAATACAGCCCAGCTCTGGAACTCAACTCAGTTCCAGAACCCAGCCTGTCTCTGGAACTCAAGCCAGTTCCAGAACCCAGACTGGTTTTGGGACCCAGCTCAGATCGGAGACTCAGCCCAGCTCAGACCCCCAGCCCAGCGCTGGAGCCCAGCTCAGTTCCAGAACCCAGCCCAGCTCTAGGACTCAGTTCAGCTCTGAGAACCAGCCCAGTTCGGAAATCCAGCCTAGTTTCAGGACCGAGCCTCACTCTGGAATCCACCATAGTTCTAGAAGCCAGCCTGTTTCTGAAACCCAACCCAGCTCCAGAACCCAGACCAGCTTAGGAGTCCAGCTCAGCTCTAGGAAGGGGCCTCGCCCCCAGACCCCCGGCCTTGACCCTGGAACCCAGTCTGATCCCACTCCTCCAGCCCGACCTCAGCCCCCAGACCCACCACCAAGAGCCCCAACGCCGGCCCCCAGCAAAGTCTCCCAGCCTCAACCCCAGCCCGATGATCTGGTACGTGGAGCCCAGGCCAACACCGGCGGAAGCCTACCGACACCCCACCGGGCCCCAAAGCCACAGGCCCCCTTGACTCGCCAGAAACCAGCCCTTCTACCTAAGCCCCAGCTGGGACCCTATAAGTCCATGCCACCTACCACATCTGTCACCCCTAGTTCTGCCTCCAGGGTGGCCCTCCTTCGGGCCCAGCTCCTTGAGTCCTCAGCTCAGGAGCCTGCCCGCTCCCCCATGCTCAGGGAGCCAGGAACTGCTCTGCAGGGGTCCGAGTCCCTCCCCCACCGCAAGGAGCAGTAGTTTAGGGGTGACATCGTTTTGGCCCGTGCTGGGCCCCATCCCCTCTCCTTCCCTTCCCAGCTCCGGTCCCCCATAATGGCAGGTGACCTCATTCCCCCACCGGCCGGGGGAGGGAGAATGGAAACGGCTTCGGTTTCCTTGGGCCTGGCCCCGGGAGGTGTAAGCAGATCCCAGGGCTGGGGAAGGGAAGAGGGAGAGGGAGGGGCATGGTGGCTGGCTCTTCCTGTACCGTGAGGGCTCATGGGAAATAAAGGCACATCCCACCCTGCGGCCAGGCGTGTTGCATTTGAGGGGAGGGAGGTTTGGGGAGAGCAGAGGCAGGGCGGGCATGAGGGTCTGGGGGCACCTATCACAACACTGGGTGCTTCTTAAGCACCTACTATGTGCCAGGTCCTTTACCAGTACTCACCGTGCCTGGGTCCGTGCATTCACGCACACGCATGACATTCCTCGAAACCTCAGTCGTTCATTCAGTCCATCTCCTTTCAGCACCTATTGTGGGCCAAGTGCTGTGTGTTCAAGACACGGGGAGTCTGCGTGTTAGCAAGCGGGCAGCCGAATGATAAGCTTAGAAGGGAGCGACTCCAGCCGAGGGGAGGGGGTGGGCCACTCCACGGCCTTGGGTCTGTCTCCCGCGCTTTCCGCATGGCAGGATGGAGTTATACCAGAGCCCTCTCTCGGGCTCTCAGGAGGATTCCTGAAGATTGGACTCGATGAGGAGGGGGGAGAGGAGCCAAACAAAGCCCGGTCTCAGCCCTCTGCCCGTCCCCGTCCGCTCCGGGGCCACGGGGTGGGGGACACTCGGATGCACCGAACACTTCAACAAGTGACGACCGACTTCCAGACCCGAAGGAAGATACAGCCGGGCTGAGATCTGTTTTGGCAAGAGACGGGGCGTCCTGCCCGTTTATATCGAGCCTTTTCTAGACGGTGCCTTCGCAGGCTGTGGCATCAAAGGGGATCAGGCGTACCCCAGCCAGTGGTCGGAACCCCTCGCCCCCTCCTTTTCCTGAGGACTTCCGGAAGGGGAGGCTTAAAAGTTTCATTGTCTCCAGATACCCCTCCCTACACCCCACTCACCCATCCTGACGTGGGGAGGGGCCTGCGAGGACAGAGGGGCCTTGGAAAAGGGGGTCAGGGGAGCGTTGGGGGGCCCCAGGGCTGACGGCAGACAGCTCACAATCCTGCCACTCAAACTCTCTGCCGCTCTCCCAGCGCCTGGAGCTCGGCGTGGGCGGTGTGAGGGTCGGGGAGGACCGGGGTCGAGTGGCCACTGTCCTTCCTGAGCTGTCTCTGCGGCCTCCCGGCCCTAAGCCATGGTGGGCCTCCGGGAGAGCTGGGGCTGCAGGGAGAGCGACCGGGAGCGGGCGCTGAGGCCGGGCTGCAGCCGCCGGATCACCGCCCGGCGGAACAGGATGTACACCCAGGGGTCCAGGATCTGGTTCCAGGTGGCCACGCGCAGGTAGATGAGCAGCTGCTTTTCCGTGGCGCGGGACAGCTGCCCGGCGGGGTCCATGGCCGGCGGGCTCCGCAGCACCGTCTGGGCGATGAAGACCTGCCAAAGGCACAGCGTTACCCGGAGCCAGGCCGGCCCGGCCCGCCCTCCACCCGCTCCTCTGGGCCGAGGCCTGGTGCTGAGCCGGCTGCCGCCGGGCTGCGTGCTCTGGAGCGCTGCCTGCCCCTCTGGGCCCGGTGACGTGGCCACACAGTGAGCACCTCTCCCGCTCCTCTCCGGGCACTTACATGTGAAGTGAGGTTTGCAGGGTGAGCAGTTGGAATTACTGTCACAGCCAGCACTGTTATTCTATTAAATAGTTTATAAACATTTCATGTTATAAAACTATAGCATAAAATTATATATAGCCTTAGCTTGTTTGGCTCAGTGGATAGGGTGTCAGTCTCTGGACTGAAGGGTCCCAGGTTCAATTCCAGCCAAGGGCACAGGCCTGGGTTGCAGGCTCAAACCCAGTGGGGGTGTGCAGGAGGCAGCCCATCAGTGACTCTCTCTCCTCATTGGTGTTTCTATCTCTTTCCCTCTCCCTTCCTTTCTAGAAAAAAATTGTATATGAAATAACCTATTTCATATTTTATTTTAAAGGATTTAATATAATTTATGTTTTATAAAATGTTATGACATAATTTTATATTACATAATATATCATGTTATTTACTATTATAATATAATAATTATCTAATAATTAATATGTTGTTGATTATAATTAGTTATATATTAGTTAAAAATTAGGCATACTTATAATTATGTAATGATATATTATATAATATATAATTGATATAACTATTAAGTATTAATACATAGTAATATATAGTTATATATTATAAATACTTAACAATTATATAATATACAATATGTAATCATAATATTATATAATTGATTTGATTAAGTATTCATTATAATACAATGTAATTAACTATAATGTATAAATTTTATAATTAAAATTATATATTGTTAAATAAAATTCATATATTTTTATTGATTTTTATTTTTACAGAGAGGAAGAGAGAGAGATAGAGAGTTAGAAACATTGATGAGAGAGTATCATCGATCAGCTGCCTTTTTGCACACCCCGTACTGGGGATGTGCCCACAACCAATACATGCCCTTGACGGGAATCGAATCGTGGACCCTTCAGTCTACAGGCTCTATCCACTAAGCCAAACCGGTTTCGGCTATAATTCATATGTAGTAAATGCACTGTGTTAAAATTATATTATATGAAAATCCTATTAAAACGGTTCCCTGAGCCGAAACCGATTTGGCTCAGTGGACAGAGCGTCAGCCTGCAGACTGAAGGGTCGGGCATGTGCCTTGACTGCGGGCACATCCCCAGTGGCAGCTGATCGATGATTCTCTCTCATCGATGTTTCTAACTATCCCTCTCTCTTCCTCTCTGTAAAAGATCAATAAAATATACTTAAAAAATAAAATAAAGTAAAATAAAATAAAATGAAATGGTTCCCTGAGCATTACTTGTGCGGACAAGGCTGGGGACCGGCCGGTTCAGGACAGCTAGCCCCGCCCCCACTGGGGCCTCTGTGTCCTGCTCAGGAACTCCTCCGGGAAGGCACCTCGCGGGGACGGCAGACCCTGACCTGCCTCCGATGAGCTGAGGCCCGTCACCCAGGACGGCGGGACCCGGCAGACCCGCCCCGGCACTCACCAGCAGCGGCATCCAGCAGACGCTGGCCACCACCATGATGCCCGTGAGCTGGGCCATCATCTCCACCTCGCAGTCCCGCGGGCGCTGCTGGGCGGCCTCCTGCCCGTGGTAGACGTGGCACAGGGTGGCCACGCTGATGGTGTTGAGCAGGAAGGACAGCCCCACCGAGAGGCTGCCCAGGAGCGCGAAGAGCAGGCCGAAGGCCACGTCGCCGGGCGCGGGGCCCAGGGTGAGGAAGCACCAGGAGCCGGGGTACTGCAGGGTGTAGCGGCCCAGGCCCAGCACGGGCAGCAGGCCCAGCGCCAGCGCCGCGGCCCACACCAGCGCCACGGTGGCCCAGGCGCGGCGGCGGGAGGCGGCCGCGGGCCGCGAGAAGGGCCGCGTGATGCCCAGGTAGCGCTCCGAGGCCATGGCGGCCCCCAGCAGCAGTGGGCTCAGGCCGAAGAAGACCATGGCGACGCCCATGAAGCGGCAGAGGCGGCAGCTGGGGTCCACGGCGGGCCAGTCGAAGAGCATGGCGTGCTGGGACACCACGATGGCCCCAGTGATCAGCAGCCCCATGAAGTCGGTGAGCACCAGGCCGCAGAGGAAGGTGAGGAAGGAGGACCTCACGGGCGAGCCGCCCTGCCGCGCGCCGGCCAGCACCCGCAGGGCCAGCAGGTTGGAGGCCAGGCCCACGAGGCAGAAGGAGGCGGGGAACCAGGGCGAGGCGATCAGGCGCCGCTCCTCCAGCGTGATGTTCACCGGCCGGAAGCAGGGGCCCCGGGCGCTGTCATTGGCCCACATGGTGGCCGGCAGAGTCCGGACAGTCAGCGCCCCATGGGGCGAGGCCGCGGGTGCAGGCTGGCACTGGCCCTGGCACACCTGGTGGGGGCAGAGAGATGGTTTGCTGGTGATTCATTCTGCATTTTATTTATTTTTAATATATTTTTATTTATTTATTTCAGAGAGAAAGGGAGAGGGAAAGAGAGATAGAAACATTACTGAGAGAGAATTATTGATTGGCTGTCTCCTGAATGCCCCCCACTGGGGACTGAGCTAGCAACCCAGGCATATGCCCTTGCCCAGAATCGAACCCTGGAGCCTTCAGTCCACAGGCCGACGCTCTATCCACTGAGCCAACCAGCTAGGGCTCATTCTGCATTTTAATCAGAGTGGCCCTGGTGAACTCCTATACAACCTTCAATGCCCCAACGGAACCCCTCCTTAAGGACGCCTTTCCTAACCAGCACCCGTGGCCTTCACCGTGAGGACCTGTCTCCTCTGGGGACACCAGTTGGTGTCTGTTGGGTTGAGGAGAAGGGCCAAGAAGCCCCAGGTTTGAACTGCAGCCCTGGCACCTCCTGCAGGACCCCAAGCAGGCGGCTTCTTCTCTCTGAGCTCGTTTCCCTGCGAGCGAGCTCCCGTCCACGCCGTTGGTGGGCCCCCCGTCCACGCGGTCGGCGTCTCCCCCGTCCACGCCGTTGGTGGGGCCCCCGTCCACGCGGTCGGCGTCTCCCCCGTCCACGCCGTTGGTGGGCCCCCCGTCCACGCGGTCGGCGTCTCCCCCGTCCACGCCGTTGGTGGGGCCCCCGTCCACGCGGTCGGCGTGTCCCCCGTCCACGCCGTTGGTGGGGCCCCCGGTCCACGCCGTTGGTGGGCCCCCCCATCCACGCCGTTGGTGGGCCCCCCGTCCACGCCGTCAGCGTCTCCCCCGTCCACGCCGTCAGCGTCTCCCCCGTCCACGCCGTTGGTGGGCCCCCCGTCCACGCGGTCGGCGGGTCCCCCGTCCACGCCGTTGGTGGGCCCCCCGTCCACGCCGTTGGTGGGCCCCCCGTCCACGCCGTTGGTGGGCCCCCCGTCCACGCCGTTGGTGGGGCCCCCGTCCACGCCGTTGGTGGGCCCCCCGTCCACGCAGTCGGCGGGTCCCCCGTCCACGCCGTTGGTGGGCCCCCAGTCCACGCCGTCAGCGTCTCCCCCGTCCACGCCGTTGGTGGGGCCCCCGGTCCACGCCGTCAGCGTCTCCCCCGTCCACGCGATCGGCGTGTCCCCCGTCCACGCCATTGGTGGGTCCCCCGTCCACGCGGTCGGCGGGCCCCCTGTCCACGCCGTTGGTGGACAGCAGCATCCAGGCCGGATGTCAGCCCGTGAGACAGGACGCATCCAGAGTGGAGAGGGAGGCGAGTTGCCGGCCAGAGCTCACGGGCATTCGTGCCAGCCCCGAGGTCCGCCTGGTGGGCCCCCGTTTCTCACGAATGCAGGAGGGGGAGGCCCCAGCCCGCTGGCACTTTAGGGAGAGCCTTCCTCACACAGGTTGAGAGTGTGTGGATTATTAGTTTTTATTTCTTAATTTTTCGGAATCATGTGGAAACCCCCCCCACACACACACACATTTCTTGGCATCACTTTTATAGTAAGAAACACACCCAGACATCCAGTTTCATTCTGGGAACAAAACACCAAATCATTGGGAGCGACAGGTCCCCAGGGATGGGCTATAAGAGGCAGCGGAGGAACCTGTTAAGGGGGGTGGGGCTTGGGGAGAAACCAGAGGCACATCTGGGCCTGGCTGGTGGCCAGGGCGAATGAACCAGCCAGATGTGGGGTCATCCAGCAGCAATAAAACGAGCACATTCAGGGGGCTCTTCCCCCTCCCCGTATGGGAGCCTGTACTGGTTCTTCAATAAATCCCACCTTCGGCCGAAACCGGTTTGGCTCAGTGGACAGAGCATCGGTCTGCGGACTGAAAGGTCCCGGGTTTGATTCTGGTCAAGGGCATGTACATTAGTTGCGAGCACATTCCCAGTAGGGGGTGTGCAGGAGGCAGCTGGTCAATGATTCTCTCTCATCGATGTTTCTAGCTATCTATCCCTCTCCCTTCCTCTCTGTGAAAAATCAATAAAATATATATTTTTTAAAAATCCCACCTTCGCTACATACGTACACACACTCACACATACACACAATCACACACAACACACCACACACTCACATACACACACACACAGTCACACACACACTCACACACACAACACACACACTCACATACACACTCACATACACACACACACACACACACACACACACACGAGAACATTCAGAAAACAGCCCCCAGTCCCCAAAAGGCCAGGCCAGGGAAGACAAAGCCACACCAGGTCCCCAGCCTTCTGCCCTGAGTACCTACCACACGCCAACCTTGTGTTGGCAGTGAGGGTGCCCCTGGCAGAGAGGGCAGAGCGGGCCAAGGTGGGAGGCGGGATCCTGGGAGGAACAGGGACGGAGGCCCCAGGCAGTTAAAGCTCATCAAAGTCCCTTGTTTTTTTGCTGAAGGAGCAAACAGGCACAGAGAGGTCAAGTAACTTGTTCAAGGTCACACAGCCCAGCCCAAGCTGATGGGCCTCATTACATATGTGTGTTAGTGATTCAAAATCCTGCCCATTCGCCCGGCTGGTTTGGCTCAGCGGATAGAGTGTTGGCCTGCGGACTGAAGGGTCTCGGGTTTGATTCCGGCCAAGGGCACATGCCTGGGTTGTGAGCTTGATCCCCGGTGAGAGATGTGAGGGAGGCAGCCAATCAATGAGTCTCATCACTTATGTTTCTCTCTCTCTCCCCCTCTTCCTTCCTCTCTAAAATCAATAAAATATATTAAAACAAACGAACAAACAAAAAAATTCTGCCCATTTGAGGGAAGCTGGTGCCAGGTGGGTGTTGGGGTTCACCATTATTATAATTTTCTCTAAGGAAGAATAAGATTTTCCAGAAAGTCAACCAGACCGGATTCAAGCCCTGCCTTTGCTACATGCCCTCTCACTGACCTTGGGCTCCCCATGTCCCCACTCTGAGCCCCCGTTCCCCTTCCTGTAAAACGGGGCTCACGGTGGAATGAGTTCATCCGGCCGGGGCTCAGCACACTGCGGGTGCTCAGTGCCTGTGCGTGTGCCCAGCAGGTGGCCGCCAGCCTCAGCCCCATCTCCATAATTGGTGCCTTGGCCCAGCCCCTCGGACTCCACAGCTCCTTATCTCGTCTCATAAATTATCCAGCTCCTGACGGCTGCCCGAGCTTCCCTCCCAGGCCCAGCGCCAAGGCCACCACCACTCCGGGGGAAACGAAGGCCTGGCGAGTGGGGTGGGGACAGGGTGTGCTTCCCATGGTGGCCGGGGGCCTCAGACCTCCAGCCCGGGCCGGGGTGTGCCCTTAGCCACCTCATATTTGACTTGAACTTGAATTCCTCCCGGGGGGGCACTCCCTCCTCCCTCGGGAGCTGGTACGAGCCATTTCTAAACATTCCCGGGAACTTGGGCTGCGCCAGCGGCCACTGCCCCGGCCTCTCTCAGCCCCTCCGGCCCTTGTCCCCGTTCCCGTGGGAGCTCTGCAGCACCCGCTCACCCGGGACGCACCCCTGGGCTCTCCTCATCTCTCCCACGTCCGGGAACAAACCTGGGACCCAGAGCCCAGGGCCGAGGGGAGACTGGAAACTGGCAGGCCTCCCTTTGGCCGGGGCCGGCGGTTTCCAGCCCCCCCTCAGAGGGGTTCAGGTGATAGCTGCTGGTCTCAGGTTTCCCAGGCAACTGGGCCAGTGGAGGCCCCTGGCGAGGCCTCCCTCCCCTCCCACGTCGGCCAGGAGAGCGGGCAGGGCCCCTAGCTCACCGGGGACCATTCCCAGCCCAGCCCAGGTCCAGAGCGCTGTGGACCTGGGGCTGGGATGGGAATGGTCCCCCATGAGTTAGGGGAATCCCTCTCCCGCTCTGTCTCAGGGGAGGCATGGGCTTCGGATTCCCATCCCGGATTTGGCGGACAAACCCAGGGTTCCGTGGCCGACGGCGGGCAGGTTTAGCTTCGAAGGACCAGAGTTCGGGAATGAGGATGAGCCCCTGGAAGGCCTCCAGCGCCTAGAATTCCAAGGGCCGAGGTTCCAGGACTCTGACGGGAGTTTGGCTGGGTCCCGGGTTCAGAAATCTGTGTCCCACAATTGGCTCCTTCCCGGGGGCTCCCCCCTGCCCACTGGAATGTGACGTTTAGTTCCCAAGGCCAGGCCTGGACATTGCCCACCCCACCCTCCCTCTCCCGCCTCCATGGAGCCATCCCTCTCCCACTCTACACCCCAAGCCCAGGCCTGCCCGGCGGCCTGTCCCCACGCCTGGGCCCACCCCGCCTCCCGCAGGGACGATGCTCTCAGAGGAGCTCAGATGGGAGTCCCCGCCCGGCCGCCGCCACGCTGGAGGCCCAGTGTCGCTGAGCGTCAGTTTCCCGCTCTGTGAAATGGGAATAACAAGGGCATCCACTGGCTGCTGGCAGTGCGGCTGCTTCTCACAGGTCTGCTTTGCTCCTGCCAAGGAGGCTCTGCTCCCGCCGTGCCCCCCGCCCGTGTGCCCTCCCTGCACCCGGTCAGGAGACGCGCGGGGGTGTCAGAGCCGCCTCTGGCCAGGTGCGCCAGGCAGCCAGGCAGGACCCTGACCCTGCGTGTGACCCCGGCCGGCTCCGCCCTCGGCCGTTTCCCAGGCTTCCTGTGCTCTCGCTGCCGAGGACGGGCGATCACGAATGAGGCCCTCTGGGGCCAGGCCCGGCCCTGCACCTGTCAGCCCAGCCCAGCCTGTGCACCCATCGCCCCCAGGGGGCCGCCTCCACAGCCCTGTGCAGCCACAGACACCCCTGCAGACACACCCTCAGAAACGCTGTGCCTCCATCAGTGCCAGGCCCACCCACCTCCCCTGCCCACAGGCTCCGTTTCCGGGAACTTTTCCTGTTTGTGACTCGAACCAGGCCCCCACCCCAGAGGGTGAGGGTGGGGACCCACCGTCAGCTTGAGAAGTGGGAGCCAAACCTCAGCCCAGATCCCACGGCCCCTCGGCCTCGCTTTCTTCCTGATTCCTAGGGGTCCGCAAAGTGCTCCCCGACAGGGCTGCCGGGGGGCCGCAGAGAGGGCGGCCTGAGACGGGGGGAGGGACCCAGGCCATCCGGCCAGCGGCTAGTGGTGGACACAAGAGTTACTGTGGCCTGGCTGAAGCTGGTGTGGCTCAGTGGTTGAGCATCGGCCTCTGAACCAGGAGGTCTCCGTCTGATTCCCGGTCAGGGCACGTGCCTGGGCTGCAGGCTCCACCGCAGTGTGGGGCGTGCAGGAGGCAGCTGATCAATGATTCTCTCTCATCATTGATGTTTGTGTCTCTCTCTCCCTCTCCATTCTTCTCTGAGATCAATAAAAAATACATATTTTTTAAAAAAGGAGTTACTGTGGTCATAAGGACCCATCTGGCGTGCACACACACACACACACACACACACACACACACACGCCGGCTCCCGGCCACACCCTCCCGGGCAGGATGCTGAGGCCCCACACAGACTCCGAACCACCCACAGGCACGGCCCCGCCGCACGTGGCGGCGCGCCGGCGGGACGGACCGGCTGCAGAGGCGCAGGCCACTGTGCCGCCCGACCGGCCTCATCGGTGCCCAGGACACCAGCACCGGCCGCTGTCCCCGCTGTCCCCCTCCGCGGCAGGCCCCCAGCAAACCCCCAGCCGCCCCCGCCGCCCCGCCCGCCGGCTGCGCCCCAAACCCGCCGCTGCTCCGCACCTGGCGACGCTGAATGGACGGGACAGCGGGAGCCCAGTGCGGCCGGGCTCCCGGGGAAACCGAGGCACCGCGGAGGCGGACACAGGACGCCCCGCCGCGCGGCCCGGAGGCGGAGGACTCGGCCCCTGAGGCCTGAGCTCAGCGGGGCGGGGGCGCTGCAGGCGGCTCCGAGGTCTCTATCCTCCGCCCCCAGCCTGTCTGTCTGTCTGTCCGTAGGTCCGTCGGTCTCTCGTCGGCCCCGCCCCTCCGCAGTGGCCACGCCCCTCCAGCCGGGCTGGCTGAGGAGTCCGCGGAGCCCCCAGCCCCCAGGGGGACCGCGGGGCCGCCGGGGGGGGCACCCCGAGGCACCGGCCGCAGCGGGGCGGACAGCGGCGCGGCCACGCCGACCTCCGGAGCTCCTCTGGCATCACTCACCTCCGGCAGCGCCGAGGCCGGAAGGGGGCGGGGCGGCTCGGGGCAGGACAGGGTCCGCTGCCCAGGGTGCCTAGACCCCACCCATGGCCCCAGGGGAACCCAGTGGGGTCAGGCCTGGCACCCAGTAGGTGGGTCTGAGGCCCCTTCCAGGGCTGGGGTTGGGGTGCAGGGTGCCTAGAGGAGGGGCGACCTCTAACCCTCCAGCCAGAAGCCGGTGGGCAGCCGCTGACAGCCCTCCTGCAGCAGGTGAGTGCGGGCCGTGGGTGACAGGGGAGGCATTTCCGGGGAGGGCCAGGGAGGCTGACAGGCCCAGAGGCACCGCTGGGGTGGGAAAGCCTGCCTTAGGGTAGGGAGGTTGCTTCCCTCCCCCCTCTCTCCCTCCCCCAGGCGGGGAGTGGGAGGTCTGGAGTCTGTCCCTGCAGGAATGATTCAGAGGTTGAGGCACGGAGCGGGAACGGGCTCTGGAATGGGCTTCCCGGGCGGGGCTGACTTCCTCGAAAGCCACCAACACCCTGGGGGCTCTGGGCCAGGGTCTCACCGGCCCTCTGGGATCCGCTGGGCACCACTAGAGCAAAGGCACGGTGCTGGGCCATGCTGCAGGGGCTGAGAGAAGCTTCTCGAAGGCCCTTCCTGCCCGCAGTCCTGGGGCCTCAGGTGGGTGGAGAGAGCCAGGGCCGGGCCTTCCAGAAGTGAGGACCTAGTGGGTCAGGACCCTGCTCAGTCCTGGGGGCCTGGGAAGGGCACACAAGGGCAGGCTCTGAGTGAAGATGGATGCTAGCCTTGGACTCGCCGAGGATCTGCCTGGAAGCCCCTTCTCTGGCTTCCCTGCCCACCACCTTTCGGTCCCCAAGCCTCGGCTCACCCCCCTGTCCCTCCAGATGCCCCGCCCACTCCATCCCATTGTCTGAGTCCCTGCGGAGGTAACCCTGACTTCTCTCCCCGACCCCTCTCTTTTTTAATATATTTTTATTGATTTCAGAGAGGAAAGGAGAGGGAGAGAGAAACATCAATGATGAGAGAGAATCATCTAGTGAATTAAGCCAGTCAGTGAAAGAGAAACACCACATGACCTCACTCATTTATGGATGATAAAGAACATTATAAACTGAAGAACCAAAAGATAGATATAGAGACAGTAAAGCAACAAGCAGACTGTCACATTACAGCGGGGAGGGTAGGGGGATCTGGGGGAGATAAGAGATCAACCGAAGGACTTGTATACATGCATATAAGTACAACCAATGGACACAAAACTCTGGGGAGGGAGGGTATGTATGGGAGGGGGGGCATTGGTATATGTACACAGATAATAATAAAAAAGAGAGAGAGAGAGAGAGAGAGAGAGAGAATCATGGATTAGCTGCCTCCTGCACGCCCCCTACTGGGGACCAAGTCTGCAACCCAGGCATGTGCCCTTGACTGGAATAGAACCCTTCAGTCCGCAGGCCGACGCTCTATCCACTGAGCCAGACCAGCCAGGGCTCTCTCTCTCTCTTTAAAAAATTTTTTTTAAATTGATTTGAGAGTGAGAGGGAGAGGGAGAGAAAAACACCAATCTGTTGCCTCCTGCATACACCCTGACTGGGGATCAAACCTGCAACCTGGGTATGTGCCCAGACTAGGAGTTGAACTGGGACCTTTCAGTGCTCTACCTACTGAACCACACTGGCCAGGGCTAACCCTGCTTTCTCTTGATTGACAAGGAATCTCCCAATTCTTATGCATCTGGCAGAGCCCTGGCTCCATGGCCCCCTCCTCTGTAAAGCCTTGATCTCCAGCAGTCTTGTTCCTCCCCCCCCCCCCTTTTTTTTTTCTTGCTCCACTCTATCTTTTCTTATTGGTTTCAGAGAGGAAGGGAGAGGGAGAGAGAGATAGAAACATCAATGATGAGAGAGAACCATTAATTGGCTGCCTTCTGCACATTCCCCACTGGGGACCAAGCCCGTAACCTAAGCATATGCCATGCCCTTGATCAGAATTGAGCCCAGGACCCTTCAATCCTCATGCCAGTCACTAAGCCAAACCAGTCAGGGCTCTTGCTCCACTTTAATTCCTCCTGAAGGGCAACTGCGTGCCTGGCCCATGTGCTGGGACAATGATGAGCCTCAGGTAGGACTGGAAACAAGACCTGCTCTCAAAGATCCTCCAGGCTAGAGATGACAGCCTGACACAGCCCTAACCCCTTCAGGCCCGCGGGCCAGAGGAAGTCATAGGGCACAGTGAGCCTGGAGGGCGTCCTGGTGCTTGGAGGAGGCATGAGAGCGGGGGCTTTTCGGGGTGAGGAGGGCTTTCCGGTGGAGACATGGCAGACATCACATGTGCAAGACTTTGGGGGCAGGAGAGCATGAGGCTGCGGGGACCTGCAGTGAAGGCAGATGCTGTGGGAAGAGGATGTGGAGCTGGGGCTCCAGATGGGGGGGAGGGCGGGGTGTGGGGGTGGGTGCGAGGTGGAGGGAGCTGGTTTCATTCCCACTTCCTGTGCCTGGAGATAAGAAGGCTAATGCTCCTTCTGGGAATTGGCCAGGGCAGGGGTCAGAGATGGACACTTCACTGGGAATTTAGTCTGGTCTGGATCTCACTGCAGCTCCTAACACAGGAGGTAAAGATGCTCATTTTGTAAATGGGAAAACTGAGGCCTAGAGGGAGGAAGTGACATGGCCAAGGGAAGCTCTGGGCTTCCTCTACCTCCTGGGCTGGAGACCTTCAGGCCTATTTACCCCCTCCTAGCTCAATGGGCGCACAGGCGGCCTGGGAGACAGATGGGGGGGGAGTGTTGGGAGCCAGATGGGGGGGGAGTGTTGGGAGCTGAGGCTAGGCTTAGGATGTGCCCCCCGTGGCTGTGGTTTCCGGTGGGGGCCAGGCAGGGAGCATCTATTCTTAGATTTGGACGCAGCTGAAGGCAGGAAGAAATGGGAGTGGCAGTTGGGGTTAGCTTGAGAAACACTGGTGGACCTTGGGCAGGGTGGGGGCGATGGGGCAGCTGGATGGGTGTGGTGCCTCCAGTCTGCCCAGGGGTCTCGGGTCCCTGCTCAGCTCACTCACCTGTACGGTTCCTCAGTGGCCGGGGAGTCCAGCTCCTGGGTGTGCATTCAGCCCTGCCCTGCGGGGAGCCTGCAGCCTTTCCCCTTGCAAGGCAGGCCCAACCCTCCTCAGCCCCGCGGCCCCCTCCAGGAAGCCTGGTGTCCCTTCTGAGGTCCCTCAGACCTGGTGCCCTCCCCTGCTCCAGCCCGACTCCTGGGGCTGCTTGTCTGAGCCCCTCTCCGCCTTCCAGACGAGGGGCTCCTGGCTACACACACCCAGCCAGTCGGGCAGATGGCCAACTTCTCCCCTGGGGGGGACACATCGTCTGAGGAGGAATTGGGATGCTGGGGTTGGGAGCATTCCTCTGGGGGCAGGTGGAGAAACTGAGGCTGGGACACAGATGATGGCCAAGGAGGTCGAGTTTTCCAAACTGGAGAAATCCAGGTTTGAACCCTGCCTGCCACTCTCTAGGGCTGAAAATGTGGGCCTCCGTGAGGCTTTTGGCCAAATGGACACAAGTCCCGTGTACAGAGCTCACGTGAGGCCGGCCGGGCTGCAGCAGAGGCACGCAGCAGCCGAGAGAGCGGACTGGGGCCTTACCCACACCCGGACCTGTGCCTCGGGCTGTCCTGCACCCAGCGCCAGGTGCGCAGGCCGTGGGCCCCTTGGTAGCGGCGGCCAGGGATTCTATTAGCGATCTCTGCCCGGGGCTCCGACGGCACAGAAACGGCCCTTCTCCATCCCGGCCCAGGCTGGTGGGCAGCCAGGGTCTGCCGTGTGGAGAGGCTGCTTAACCAGGTGCATTTCCCCGAGTCACCACCTGGCTCAGGTGAGAGCGCCTCACCTCCAGGCATCCACGGTCAAGTCCGATAACCTGATGGGAGGGAGGCTGATGGGCCGGGGGCGGGGGCGGAGGAAACTGGCTACCAGCAGCTTCCTAAGGAACAATTGGCTATTTTTAGGTGTGGTTGTTTTAAAAGGTCTTGGTTGGGTTTAATGTCTCAGTTGTGACAAACGTGCTGTGTCACAGGAGACGTTAACAATGGGGACAGCTGGCTGTGGGGGGAGGAACCGGGCTATCTTCCCAGCATTTCTGAAAATCTATGAGTATTCTAAAATAGAGCATTTATTAAAAAAAAAAAAGTACTCTATGAGTAGACCAATTAATGAAAGTAAACAAGATTTCCCCTCCCCAGTTAAAAAAGTCTTTTTAGAGCAACAACCTAAAATACTTCCCGGTGACGGGGCTCTGGCGGGGCTGCCCGAGGAGCCGGGGGTTTGGTGCGGTTCTTTCCCTCTAGAAATGTCTTCATCACAGAGCGCCAACAGCCATGCTGCTGGGGTTGGCCCGCTGTGCTGCCGACAGCCTGTGCCTGTGGGCGAGTGACTGTCCGTCTGACAGGACGAGGAGGGCAGCTGTGTGGTGGCTGGGGGGTGGCCTTAAAAACAGCGTCCGAGGAGAGGGGAACACAGCTGCACCCATGGAGGCGTCTCCTGGGCTCCCTTGCTCAGTGGCTGTGGAAGGACTTCTCAGTGACCCTTGTTCCTGGACCTGTTGGTGGGTGACAGGTCCTTCGTGCCCACTTGGGGAGACTGACCACCACCAGCACCAGGGGAGGTGAGAGTGATGTCCCTCAAATGGTCTCTTTTGGAACATGCACCACAAGGGTCCGGGTTCCACGGAGTGGGCACTGAGGGGGGCTGCTGGGAAAGGGCCAGGGGTGTGGGCCCTCCAACAGCCGGCTGTGTCCAAGGGCCAATCAATGCTCTGAACGTGGATTTCCTCAGAAGCGTGGGCCTCCCCCACCCGCCCCTAGGCCTGCTCTGCAGAGCTCGTCTAAGCTGGAACTGGGGCTTCACTGCCCACGTGGACAGGAGGCTGGCTGACACTTGCTGGGTTCCCTGGGCTCAAAGAGTCCCCCCAGCGGCCCCTCCTGCACGTCAGGATCCTGGGCCGGCCCTTCCCCGTCCTCCCTCAGGTCTCGGAGGCAGTTCCAGGAGACTTGCTGTTCTCACAGGGGGAGAGGGGCTGTGGCCCACCGGGGAAGGCTGCCAGCCTCACGCCTGCCAGCCGCCCGGGGACGCAGGGCCGTCACCGCCGGTACCGGTAGCGCTTGAAGTGGAACCAGAGCTGGAAGATGCCGTTGGCGAACTGGCAGCGGAAGCCGTGGCGGTGCGAGTACTCCCACTCGCGGTTGACGATCTTGAAGGCGATGTCCTCGTAGGGCGGCCCGGCGTGGAAGCGCAGCGTGGCGAAGTCCTTGTTGTCGGCGCAGGCCTCCAGGAAGTACTCGGGGGTGGAGCGCTTGTCGATGAGGTCGGGGTAGAAGATGTTGAACTTGTAGCCCTGCACGATCTTGGGGGGCGGGTTGTCGAAGTCGTAATGCGTCTGGTTGTACTTGTTCCACTCGAAGCCCGTGTGCACGCGGTTGAAGAAGCGCGGCTTGCGAGGCCGGTACTTGTCAGCCCACAGGTAGGCCTTGCCCGTCAGCGGCATCTCCACGCTGAACTGCGCCTCGTCCTGGCCCATGCCCTCCTTGGCCCGCCGGAAGAAGATGTCCTCCGCACTCTCGCTTGCGTCGCCTGCGGGAGGCGGGAGGCACCAGCTTCAGATTCCTGCCCTCCAGGCGGTGGCAGGGCAGCCGGAGCCTTTCACAGAACTGAGGCCCAGGGAAGGCACAGGGAGCGGCAGGCCCTGGCTCCCAACTCCCCTGCCGCCCAGTGCCCCATCCTCCGCCATCGATGCCCATCGTCCTCCCCGTGTGGGTGTCCTCCCAGGGTGGGCACCAAACATGTATCCCGCTGGGTGGCCAGAGTGCCTGGCGGTTAGGCCTCCAGGGGACCCCGCTCCTCTCTGTACCCAGGACCAGAGCAGCTCAGGGAGGCTGAGGTGCATAAGGAGCTCACAGCAGGGCTGGGAATAGGATGTAAAACCAACCGTTGCCCTGGCTCAGTGGTCAGCGCGCCAGCCTGTGCACTGAAGGGTTGTGGGGGTTGTGGGTGCCAGTCCCAGCCAAGGGCACATACCTTTGTAGGTGTAGGTTCAACCCCCAACTCTGGGCAGGGAGTGTGTGGAAGGCAACCTGTCTCTCTCACAACAATGTTGCTATTTCTCCCCTCTCCCTCCCTTTCACTCTCTTTAGAAAAAAAAAAAATCAATGGGAAAAATATCCTCAGGTGAAGACCAACAACAAAAAAGCAAAACAACTTCCCGACCCCGTAACCACCACCCCTCTGTCCTTGGGGCCAGCGGCCACCAGGTCCAAACGAGAGAGTGAGGAGACAGATGGACGGATGCTCACAGGCAGGGAGGGCGGGCACAGACACAAGACCACCACCCAACCCCGGGTTCGCGCAGCCTCAGGGCGTCTTGCCCCCCAGCCCCCCCCCCCCCGGGCCTCGCTGTGAATACCTGTGACCTGGAGCTGCTGCCGCGACAGCTGCAGGCGCTGCAGGTCCTCGTCGGGCTCCAGCACGTGGGCGTCCAGCGGCAGCTCGTGCGCCGTGAGCAGCCGGGGGCTGTACTTGCCGGCGTCATAGTCGTCCAGGCTCTGCTGGATCAGGTCCTCCTCCATGAGCACAGCCTCGCCCTCGGCCTCGGCCTCTGCCGCGGTGGCCTCCTCGGCCTCAGGCTCCCCGGGGCCGCCCTCCAAGGAGGGCCCTGGTGGGGTCAGGGCCTGGTCCTCGGGCTCCAGGCTTCAGGGAAGAAGGCAGGGCTGGGTGAGCGGCGCCCTGACCCCTCCAGAGTGCGCGTGGGGTTCCTCCCGGGCCCCAGGTGAGAAGGGAACTCTGGGCTGGGCCTACCTGTGGCCCGGAGACGGGGGCTCCTGCTTGAGGATGGGGAAGAGGGGCTCGCTCTCCACGCCCTGCTCCTGCTTCAGCTTGTAGAGCTTCTGCCGTAGCACGTCCTGGTGCCGCTCGCGAAGCCTGAAACGGGGCCTGGGGGTCACCCTGACTGGGTGGGGAGGGGACCCCCACCCTCCCTCAGGCTTTCTCATGACCCCTCCTTTTGCTGCTAGGACACAAGAGGTTGAGAGGGCAGTAAGTGGGTACACAAGCTGGGGCTCCAGCCCAGCATGGCCATTCCAGGGTCAAGGCTTTGGCCATAAAGATGGGCTTGAGGTCAGGAACCCCCATGCCTAGGAGGGGCAAGTCCCTGGAGCAGGTATTCACATGCGGGTGTAACCCTAACACAAGGCCGGGCAGAAGGAGGCGGAGCAGCAGAGAGGATAAATTTAGAGGCAAGTCCACAGTTAGTGGCAGGCAGGCGCTGTGTTTACACAGCAGTGCCAAGCACGCTGAGAATTTGTACACAGGGTGTGTGGGGCCAGCAGGAGGGGACAGCAGCCTGGAGGCCTCTTGCGATGCCTGTTAACCCTAAGTGAACAAAGACCAGGCTCCTGGGAAAGGCGTATGGAAGGCCACTGTGGGAGGCCCTGCTTGACCCCCACAGGGCCCGGAATCCAGGTGGGAACATGAGCAGCTCTTCCCGGACACAGCGGGCGCCGCTGGCCAGGGTACTGTGGCCCCAAGATTACCCAGCAGGCCTGATGGAGACGACCCGTCCCCCAGGCAAGATCCCAAGAGGGACAAGACCCTCCCACCCAGCAGAGTGCTGGCTGAGGCCTGCTGCCACTCACCGGGCTCGTGCCATGTGGGCACGCAGCTGCTGCAGGAGGCTCTCCCAGTATCCCATGTCCAGGTTGGGGCCCCCGGCCCGGATCTTGCCCTCGATACCCTGGAAGATGACCTGCAGCTGGCTGTACGTCTTCCCTTTGAAGACCAGCTGCACATCGGAGCTGACCGAGGTGTTAACGCCCTCTCGTCGCTCGCCTACGGTGAGGCAGGGGCCGCTCAACACCAGGCTTGGACCCAGGTACCCAGTCCATCAACCGTGCCCACCGCTCCCTTCCCCAAACCACACAGAAGGGCCAAGAGTGTGTGCCTGGCAGCTGTTTAGAATTCAGGTTATGCTACGCCAGTCCCAGCTGGGTGATCCTCTCGGGGCCTCCCCTTTCCCTTCTATGAAGCCTGGTGAGATCATGCATGCGAGGACTGTGCTGTGCCACGGCGGGACAAACTGCCCGAGACAAACAGGCCCCTCTGCCTGCAGGGAAATCTGTTCCAGTATCTATCACGGGCTGCAGGCCCAAGGACACATCCCTTCCCTCTAGACTGGAGGGCCCCTGAGGACAAGGCCAGACACTGCCTGAGCCACACCAGGCTCCTTGTTGTTTACCAAAGGTGCCCAGCCCCTGCCCCAGGGCCTTTGCACACGGGGTACTTTCCACTCCTTAGCACTCAGCAGGAATGTACCTTCTACCAGGAAGCCTTCCCTGACTAACAGACTGCTCCCTTGCCTTCACACCCACCATGTGGCTTCCTGAGGGCCGGGACCCCCTGGCTTCCCATTGCTGTGAATAGGAAGTGGGTGACAAGCCCATGCTCCCACTTGAAAGCAGGATTCAAGAACCACAGTTGTGGACACATGGTCACAGTTGATCAGATAAGGTTGAGAGGGAACCAAGTCCCTGTAGCCAACGAACCTTGGACCCCGAATCACACCTTCATTGTGTACCTGAGTCGCCCTTAGCAGCGCTGGCCTCAGTGGTCAACCTACAGGCTGAAAGCCTGCCCTCGGTCTGTGCAGGCCCAGAAATAACACAGGTCCAAACCAAATTCGGCAATAACCCCCTCACCAGGCCAAGCAGAGCCAAGTTCTACAATCACTCAAATAGACAGAGCAACCAGTGAAAACTTACAACCCAAACAAACCGCCCTGCTGGTGCTGTTCCCACAGAAGCGAAGAGCAGCCGAGTCACGTTTAAAGGAAGCCATGTCATAGGCCTGGATGCCACCTGAACGCCAGCGGCAGAGCTTTGAACACGGGCAGACATGTGGGACGACCCTTCAGCCAGTGGGGCAGGGTCTGTCGTCAGCCTCTGAAGAAACACCCTGCTCAAGAAGTCTACAGCCAGCCCGCTGCCACAACCAGAGGGAGAGAAGCACTTCCTGGCACACAGGACATCACAGAACTACGCCTGCCTTCCTTCAGAAGCCACGGCAGGTTGTGCCCCACCAAGACGAGGGCACAAACCACAAAAAAGGGCTGTGTACCTGGTTGGCGTGGCTCAGTGGTTGGGCATCAACCTATGAACCAGAAAGTCACGGTTCAATTCCCCACCAGGACACACGCCCAGGTTGTGGGTTTGATGCCCAGTGGGGGTTGTGCAGGAGGCAGCCAATCAACGCTTCTCTCTCGTCATTTATGTTTCTATTTCTCTCTTCCCCTGACTCCCTCTTTAAAAAAAAAAAGGAAGAAAAGGGGCTCCTTCACTGATGAAAACGAAGGGAGCCCAGGAGGGTGGCAGGGGCCACTGTGCTGGGGGTGGGAGAGAAGGGGCCCGGGAACAAGAAAAAGGCCTGATCGGCTTCTCCATGTGTCTGAGCACTCCCCGACTCAGCTGGGAGGCTGGGGCCCATGCAAACAAAGGGGCACTGAGCACCCAGGAGGCAGCTGACCGGCTAAGGTCACTGAGCTGCCTGTTGGCTTGGGTTTGCACCCAGAGTCCCGATCATAACTGTTACTCTGTCCACGGGCCTCCCCGCCCCCTTCCAACCAGTTCTACAGCCAGTCCCACTGCCACCAGAGATTTCCTGACACATTTCTGACAAGAGTTTCTCTTCCTTTCTCCGGAAGTTACTGCAGGATGTAATTGCTAAAAGGACGTGAGAAACAAAACTCCATTTACAGAAAGAAAGGATATTTATCCTTTTCTAAGAGGAAGGAAACTGTCCTGGCCCACATCTGAGCTCCAAATGGCATTTACACAGGCCAGGGGGAGGGGTGGGCTCACGTCCTCAGCCACCAAGTGGGTGATGAAGGATGAAGCTTGGCAACAGGGACGAGAGGTCACAGAAGCTGGAAGGGTTAAAGCCAGTGGCTTGCAGGGGTCCTCAAACTTTTTAAAGTGGGGGCCAGATCACGGTCCCTCAGAGGGCTGGAGGGCCGGACTATATGAACTACTAATTCCTACTGTAACACCTCGGCTGCGCTCACTGCCCAAAAAACCTGGCAGGCCGGGTCAGACTCCTCTGCGGGCCGCATGTGGCCCGCGGGCCGTAGTTTGAAGACGCCTGCTTTAGGGACTGAGGGTGGGCCTGCTGCATTCTGCCCCAGGGGACAAGGGGCTGTGTCTGGGGAGTTCATTTCCCCTTTGAACATACACATGGGGTCGTTTAGATGAAAAGAGAACTGATGTTCTTAAAAAAGAACACCAGATTGAGCAGAGGGGTTTCCCTCCAAGCAGAGCTGGGTCCTGCTCTTAAACTGAGTTTCGGGAGAAAACCTGAAACCCAAACAAAAAGCCCTTCTGGTACTGCTCCCAGGGATCCTGCGCTGCCCAGTGATTTTTAAAGGAAGCCCCTTCATCCAGAGAGAGCCCTTAGCACAGGACCTGGGCGCCCACTGCTCAGTGCTGCCCCCTAGTGGCTCTCACAGAGGCCTCCAGAGGGCTCTGGAGAGTCCAAAGAAAGATACTGATGTTTGCAGAGTTCCTAAGGTCAGCTTCCTGTGGAACCACCCCCAGTGGCAACCTCCACCAACGCAGATGTGTCCCCACGACAACCCCCACCAACGCAGATGTGTCCCCACGACAACCCCCACCAACGCAGATGTGTCCCCACGACAACCCCCACCAATGCAGATGTGTCCCCACGACAACCCCCACCAACGCAGATGTGTCCCCACGACAACCCCCACCAACGCAGATGTGTCCCCACGGCAACCCCCACCAACGCAGATGTGTCCCCACGACAACCCCCACCAACGCAGATGTGTCCCCACGACAACCCCCACCAACGCAGATGTGTCCCCACGGCAACCCCCACCAACGCAGATGTGTCCCCACGGCAACCCCCACCAACGCAGATGTGTCCCCACGGCAACCCCCACCAACGCAGATGTGTCCCCACGGCAACCCCCACCAACGCAGATGTGTCCCCACGGCAACCCCCACCAACGCAGATGTGTCCCCACAACCCCCACCAACGCAGATGTGTCCCCACAACCCCCACCAACGCAGATGTGTCCCCACAACAACCCTCACCAACGCAGATGTGTCCCCACGGCAACCCCCACCAACGCAGATGTGTCCCCATGGCAACCCCCACCAATGCAGATGTGTCCCCATGGCAACCCCCACCAACGCAGATGTGTCCCCATGGTAACCCCCACTAACGCAGATGTGTCCCCAAGGCAACCCCCACCAGTGCAGATGTGTCCCCACGGCAACCCCCAATGCAGATGTGTCCCCACGGCAACCCCACCAATGCAGATGTGTCCCCATGCCAACCCCCACCAATGCAGATGTGTCCCCCCACCAACGCAGATGTGTCCCCATGGCAACCCCCACCAATGCAGAAGTACCCCCCTCCACCAATGTAGATGTGTCCCCACGACAACCCCCACCAGTGCAGATGTGTCCCCCAAAGCACATCTGGTGTCTTTCTGGTCAGCCGGCTTGGGGTCAGCGCTGGCCCTGGGTTACCTGGGCCCTTGCCAGAGGCCTCCAGCTTGCGGAGCTTAGAGATCTCATCCTCCGTGATGATGGTCATGTCCCGCCAGAAGTCCACGTTCTTGCCCTGCTCAAGTTCCATGTACACCTGGAGGCGAAGGCACAGAGGGGTGGGGTGAAAGCACGGTCTTGGGGAGGCCAGGGTGTGGGTGGTAGGGCCGGGTGGTACCTGGATATCCTCCAGCAGGTCCTCCATGTCAGCCACCGTGAGGCCATTGAGGAAGGTGTAAGGCTCATGCATCTCCACAGCCAGGTCATCGTCCTCAGCGCTGATGTACTTGGCCAGCAGGTCAATGGGCTTGGCCCGTCCATCCCGGATTCGAATCTTGGAGCTGCAAGGAGGAGGAGGTGGTGTCAGGTCCAGGATGTGACTTGCCTGCCATCATGCTGCCAATGGGAGTGACCAGTGTGGGAACTGGGGTAGGGGCCTGGCTGGCAGGGGTGGTGGTCAGGGAAGGCTTCCTGAAAGAAGAGGCATCAGGTGGAGAAGACAGACAGGTTAATGAGAAACAGGCCCAGAGAGGGCCAGGGATTAGTGTGAACATGGGGTCTGAAGGGCAGCGGGTGGGAGTGGACAGAGAGGGACAGAGAGGACCACTTCTCAATGGACGGGCTGCCTCGGCTGAAAGATCTAGAGCTTTAGTGCTGTGCCCGAGGGGACACACGTCAGAGGCTGATCCTAGTCTAACCAAAGGGGCGCCATGATCAGGAAGGTCCAAGCCCTTAGCCAGGACTGGTGTAGCAGGGAGAAGCGCAGGAGAGTGGGCTCTGGGTTACATACACTGGGCCGCAGGCTCAGTACCCTGTGGCCTCAGATAACCCCACCCCCAGGAACTCCATTTTCCTTCTCTGTAAACACAGCTGATGAGCAAACACTTTGCCTGTGGGCTGCAGGTGAAGGGAGGAGCACAGGTAGTGAGGGTCCGGGCCCAGAACGCTCCCACTCAGCTTGTGCAGTTCCGCACATGGAGCCGGTGTATTCAGGGGTCTCTCTGCACCCAGCCCAATGGGGGAGCCCACCAGCAACAGGTGTACACGCAAAACCGGGACTAGTGCCAAAAAGGGGCTCGGGGAGCAACCCCCAAAAACCCGAAGGGTGAGGGGGAGCCATAGAATAGCGGGTTCTAGGAAGCGTGAATAGCAAGTGCAAAGGCCCTGGGGCAGAAACAAGCTCCATGAGTTTGCGTCCAGAAGCAGGCTGGTGGTTGAAGGGAGTGATACAGGGTTTTGGTGAACAAAGGGTGGTAGTGGGCAGCCTCCCCCAGCCCCCGCTCCGTGCACTGCACCGAAGTTTAGCCTGCTGGAGATGGAAGTTGTCCTCCTGTTCCTCCCACGTCTTGAAGTGCTCCGCCTCCTTCTCCCGCTGCAGCATCTCCAGCTCCTGCTCACGCATGGCCTTTTCCCGCTCCCGCTCCAGCCGGAGCTGCTTCACCTGGGAATGCACAAGGAGGATGAGGGCAGGACAGCTAGATGATAGGGGGTGGAGGGGACTTGTGAGGCCTGCCCTGTGCCCTCTCAGGCCATGGGATCCCCTAGGGTTGGGACTGGGACTATAACCAAGGCCTGGCCCAAGCCCGCCAGACTCTGAGGAGAGGCCACCCTGAGAGGAGCGTCTGAGAGTCAAGCCAGAGGCCAGCAGAGCCGATGTGGAGAGGAGCAGCTCGCTGGAGACACTGCCTGAGCCCCTGGATGCAGCTGTGCCTAAAGCCAAGACTTTCCATGAGAGCCAATCAGGTTCTGTTTGACTTAAACAAGGGCAAACCAGCCTGGGAGCCCCAATGAGGGCAAGTCAAGGGCACGCCCACCTTCTGCAGCTCCAGCCGATTGTCCTCCTGGATCCTCTTGTTCCGCTCCTTCAGCTCTTTCTCCTCCAGGTGGCCGATCCCCTTCTTCTCCAGGGCCTGCAAGGGCCGGCACGGCCGCTGGGTGAGGGGCCTCCCTTCCTCTGCCCTCCCTGGCCCCTGGCCCTTCCCATGAGACGGCTTCGACACACTCACGTCTACAGACCGAAATGAACGAAGCCCAGCATCTGCTTTAGCTCAGAGGAAGGACCAGCCCAGGGCCCCCTCACTGCCTCCCATTAGAAGACGCCTCCACCCCCACCTACAATCAAGTCAGTTTATAAACCCAACTCCGAAGACCCTCTATGTCAGGGAGTGGGCGAAGCACCGAGGAGAGACGGCTGGGCCCACTCCTGCAGGCTCCTGGGAGTCCCTTGGGACCTCCGGCTCTTGCTTCACATAGAAACCCAGCTGCGCCCGCTGCGTGTGGTAAAGCCTTCTCCTGGGGCGACTCCCCAAGGCCAGGCTGGGCTGAGAAAGACTCATGGAGAAATGCCTGGACAGGTACGTGCATAGCCCAGACTACAGCAAGCTTGTTCATTTGAATTTATTAAGTGCCTACTGTGTGTCAGGCCCTAGGACTGCCCTGTGGAGTTCAGTTTGGCAGGAACTATACATTATAAGTTAGGGTATTTAGAAATCATCTTTGCAATGAGACCTTTCTGGGCCTGCTTATTTATTTTTTAATCCTCACCCAAGGATCTTCTCTCCATTGATTTTTAGAGAGTGTAAGGTAGAGTGGGTGGGTGGGAAGAGAGGAGGGAGGGAGGAAGGAGAGGAGAGAGAGAGGGGAACACCAAAGTGAAAGAGACACATTGATTACTTGCCTCCCACATGCATCCCGACTGGGGCCAGGGATTGAACCTGCAACCCAGGTATGTGCCCTTGACTGGGAATGGACCTAGACCCTTTGATGGTAGGTTGATGCTCTAACCACTGGGTACACCGGCCAGGGCTGGACCTGCTTATTGTGGTCACTGCTGCACACCTGCCTTCGTTCTCTCCTCTTGTACTTTGCTAACTTACTTATTACAGTTTGTCTTCCCCACGAGGCTGCTGGCCCCACAGGGATAGTGATTTTTGTTGCCCTCGCTTATAGATATGTGCCCAGAGTCACAAAGGTTCCAGCACCTGGTAGGTGCACAATACTAGTTTGTTAGTAAAGTGCTAGAAACGCAGAGGCAGTGCCCTGATAATTACTACCAGGGCAGCTTGGCTGGAGTCACTCAGTGGCTGAGCATTGCAACCTATGTACCAGATGTCATGGTTCGAATCCCGGTCAGGGCACATGCCTAGGCTGTGGCCTTGATCCCCAGTGGAGGGCGTGCAGAAGGCAGCTGATCAATGATTCTCATCATTGATGTTTCTCTCTCTCTCTCTCCCCCTCCCTTTCTCTCTGAAATCAATAAAATTAAATTTAAAAAAAGAATACCAAGAGGGCCAGGAGGGCCTCTCTGAGGAGGGACCATGTCAGCTGAGATCTGGAGGAGAAAGAACCTCCATGCAAGAGGCAGGAGTGTTCTAAGGCAGAGGACCAGTGTGTCCTGAGGCAGGTGAAGGGCGCTATGTTCAGGAGACTGAGAAGAATCCACACTTCAGCGTGGGCGATGAGTGGAGCTGCCCCCGCCTCCAACTGTGGCCCCGCTCTCCCCCACCAGTGACGGGTGCTGTGTGGGATTGGACTGTATGTCCACGTCTCAACACCTGGAAGCTGTGAGTGTACCCTTATTTGGAAATGAAGTCTCTGCAGATATAATTAATTAAGATGAGGTTAGACTGGATTAGACTGGGCCCTAATTCAATATTTGGTGTCCTTATAGGGAGAGGGAAATTTAGACACAGACATAGAGGATGGCGCCATATGAAGATACCAACACAGAGGGGAAGACAGCTACTGACAACAGAGGCAGAGACTGGAGTGATATAGCCACAAGCTCTGGGTTGCTCCTAGCAACCACCAGAAGCTGGAAGCCATAGGAAAGATCCTTCGCCAGATCTTCCAAAGGGAGGATGGCCCTGCTGACACCTTGATTTCAGACTTTTGACCTTCAGACATGGAAGACACATTCTGTGGTTTTCAGCTATGCGCCATGACTGCAGGTAAAGGACCAGAGTGTAATTTTCATCTCAAGAATGAAATGACAGCTCTGAGCTGACAGAGGATAACTGTGGAATTCCATCCTGAGTGTGTGACACTAAGAACCTATTCTCCAGTCACATTGAGGTTAGGCTGGTGTGGGGGTCAAAGCATGCCTGAAGTGTTATACTGCAGGAGACAGTAAACAGAGTAAAACCTGGCAAAACCAGTGTACGTATGGTGCATGGCAAAATGCAGTCTGGGAATGTGTGCTGTGAGTGCTAACATCTCTTGAAACTGAGGTTGTAAAAAGCACACAAAGTAAAAACAATGAGGCAGGAAAAATTTGGCACAAGCACAGAGCTAACCACCAAGCACTCCATGGCTGTGCTGGGCTCACCTTGTTCCATATGAAGGTGCCCAGGAGGTTGTTGTCGCCGAAGGGGTTGTCGGTGTTGGTGTAGCCCATGTACTCCTCGCCCCAGCCCATCTTCTCCCGCTTCTTCCTCTCCTTGGCCTCCTTCTTGGCCAGGCGCCGGGCCCGCTTCTCCTCGGGCGTCTCGAAGGCCTTCATCAGCTCCTCCTGCTGCTTCCGCTCCTCGCGCAGCCGCAGCCGCTCCTGCAGGTCCTGCTGCTGGCTCAGGGCCGCCGCCACGTCCCTCGAGCTCTGGGAGCGGTCTGGGGACGCAGAGCTGGAGGAGGAGGAGCAGGAGCGGGTCCGCCGGCGGCGGGCCCAGCGGCCCTGGTGCTGCCACTGCCGCTCATTGCCGGAGTCAGACGAGGAGGACTGGTCCTGTGAGCGCCACTGAGGTGGCTGTGGGCTCCGGCCCTGTCTTCCTCGCCGCTGCCACTGGTCTTCCTCTGAATCTGACCTGGGAAGGAAATCCGAAAGGGCTTGCTCACTGCTCGCTGGTCAGTCATTTGTTCAACATACATTTAGTGAGCGCCTGCTGTATGTTGGCCCTGTTCTAGGTTCTGGGAACATAGCAGTGACAAAAACATTGATGGTCCCTTCCTTCGTGGGACTCACATCAATAAGGAAACACACAGTGTGACATGGGATAGTGCTTTGAGCTACAAAGAAATTATGTAAAACGAGAGAACAAAAGGTCAGAGAGGGTCTCCCTGAGGAGGTAACTGGAAGAAGTGGGTGAGGGAGCTATGGGGAGTCTGGGGGGAGGATGATCCAGGCAGAGGGCATAGCACGAGCAAAGGCCTGGGCAACAATTTACTTGGCGTGTTCAGGGAACAGCAAGTATGGCTGGAGCAGAGTCAGCGAGGGGAACAGTGAGGGGATGAGGGCAGGAAGATAGGCTGGGGCTGGATGGTGCAGGAACAATGAGTGGCCGGTTTGGCTCAGTGGTTGACTTTTGAACCCTTTCCCTTCCTCTCTGAAGTCAATACAAATATATTTAAATTAAAAAAAAAAAAGTTTGAATCAAAAGATCTGATCTCTCCAAGGTGATGAGAGGGCTTACAGGAGAAGGTGGTGTTTAAACTAGTGATGCAGTTGGGTAGGAGAAAACTGGAGTAAAACTGACAGCAATGAAGGGCCAGGGAAAGGCATTGGGAATAGGGAACAGAATGGGCAAGCCCCTAAGGATAGATTCTTTAGTGTTTAGAGGCCTCTGAATGAAGAGAGGAAAAACTAAACCTGTCTTTAGTATGTTAAATGTTCCACCTATTAAGCTCACACAAAAAAACCCTGGAGACTTCCAGTCAAGATGGAGGCATAGGTAAACATCATACTAGAATCCTCCAACAACCACATAAAAAACATTAGAACAACCATCGTTCAGAAACTCCTAAAATCTAGTTGAATGGAAATCTCTTCCTCTCTCTCTAAATTTAAAATCAATTAAAAAATATTAAAAAAAATAATACAATGAAATGTCTGGAGGTAAATCTTGGCTATAGAGGTCCCCTTAGCTCAACCCCACACCAGCTCCTCGCCATCCCCTGCTGAAGCCTCTCTGAAGAGGGACCATGTCAGTGAGATCTGGAGGATGAGAAAGAACCAGCCATGGAAAAGGTAGGGTTTCCCCATAATTCTGGCTGTAAAAATCAGTGGGGACTGTGGCTGAGACTGGGCTGCTGGAGTCCCAGGCAGTTCCTCTTCAAGGGCACATACTAGACTCACTCCCTCTGAGCTCCAGCACTGGGATAGCAGCTTGAAAGGAACCAGGGTCATGTGGGGAGGAACTGAATTGTCTGGCATCAGGGCAAGAGTTGGGGTGCGGTTTACCAGGCAAAGCGCTGGCAGAGGCCATGGTTCCCCATAGTCTACAGGCAGGAGCCATATCTGAGTCTCCCTCAACCTGGCCCAACTGTTTACCCCACCCTGGTGATTCCCTGAGACCCAGCCTCACTCAACTTGCATTTCCAGTGGCCTTTCCCATACAGCTGGCTTCTCCTGACTTAGGTTTTGGACTTTCCTAAAATCTCTAAAAGCAGCAGCAGCTGGCCTCTGCATATTTTCTGCCTCTTGCTAAGTGGCCCCAGGCCTGGCTCTAGTAGCAGCCTGCCTTGGTTCACAGCTTGGCCTCTCCGAATATCTCCAGGTCCAACACAAGCAGCAGCCATCTGCAGATCACTCTGTAACTCGCATCAGGTGGCTCCAAGCAGGGCACAAATGGTGGCCAACTTTGCACTTCTGGGAGGTCCCAGAGCCAGTGCACCTGATGGACAGCTTCAGATGATGCTGGATTACAACTACGAACCTACCACCTCCACGAATGACACACTAAAGAGGTGGACTCCATGAGTACCAAAGCCCCTTTGAAGCAAATCCTGTTCCATAAGGTTGACTTCTGCCTAGCAGCTCCTTTACTATAGTAAAGCTGGTCCTTGGAGCTGGTTGGACTGGGGGTCAATCCCTTCCAGTGACACTAACAGCAATCAAGACTCAACTACAACAGGACAGTGCACACAAGCCGCACTGGGGCAGAATTTTAGTAATTACTTTGTGTGTCATGAGATGAAAGAGGTTGAAATTTCCTGGGGTGAAGGAGTAGGAGGCAATGAGTGTCTGTACAGAAAATCTTGGGTCCCCATGGAAATATTGAGGACACAGGTGAGTAAACTTGGGGGTCACAGTAGGCAAGAGAATGGCGGCCTGAGTGTCACAGCCTGATAGAGACTGAGCCAGCACTGGGACACAGGCCTTGGAGTCAGTCCCCATCACTGTGCTGGTGGTTCCTCTGTGCTGGAACGAACTCAAGTCAATTCTGGTAAGGCGTCCCATCTCCAGAAGAAAAAGGACTGTGGTCCCTGGGGACACTGAGACCCGGGGCCTAGGAGTCAGAGTTCTGCACCTGTCACCAACAGCTCTCTCACACCCACCTCCATTAGCAAATGTTGTCACCTCTACTTCCAAAATCCCACTAAACTCAGCCCACGTCCTCACTGTGCCTCCCACAGTCTCCCTCTCCTGAAGGCCACCATCATCTGTTGCCTGGACAACTGTATTGTCCTCCTCCTCCCTGGTGTCAGTCCTGCCCACCTCCTCAGCCAGTCCCTTCCTCACGGGAAAGCCAGAGAGAGTTCTGCAAAGTAAGCCGGACCACGTCATTCCCTGTTCACAGTCCTCCCATGGCCCGGTGCTTCCCTACGAATAATGGCCAAACCCTTCACCACGACAAGAACCTGCGCGATCTAACCTCCCATTACCTTTGTGTCACCTGCCTCGCATCCTGGGCTCCACGCAGTCCCTCCAAGCACTCCGTGACCTGCCTGAAACACCTCTCATTTCCTTCCGCTGCTTGACGTCCATTTCTCCAGGAAGCCCTAGCTGCCTAATTCGGGGGTCACTCCCCTCCCCAGGGCAGAAGCTGAACCCCCGGAGCTGCACCTGCGCTCCCGGCTCCGCCGCCTCCGTCGCCCTTCGTCGTCCCGGCGCCGCCGGTTTCGCCGCCCATGGCTCCCGCTCCGATTTCGGCTTCGACTCCTGCTCCGGCTCCGCCGCCTTCGGCCCCTGCGATCCCTGCGACCCGTTGACCGCGAGCGCGAGCGTGTATCCCGACCCATCAGCTGGGACGATGGCGGCGGCGCAGACGCAGAGATCCGGGGCCTGCGCCGGGGCCTTTCCTCCGCCGCGGCGCGCGCCGGGCTGCCCCGTCCGAGCCTGAGCCGGGAGGTGGGAACTCACCCCGCCATCCGATCCGCGGGGGCTCTAACGCCTTGTAATCCCCCATCTCCTGCCAACGCGGTCCGCGTGGTAGGCCCCAGCCGGGCTGTCAGGGACGCGCCCATCAGGCAGTGCCAGGAGCAGCCCCGTGTGGGTCCTCGTGCCTCAGGACCTGAGGCCCCGGAGCGGTGCGAACCCGGAACTGTTAGTGGGAAGGGCTCGGAGGGACGAGACCAAGAAGGGGCGGGTCCGGGGAGGAGGTGGAGCCTTGTGGGCGGGGCCAAAGGAGGCCTATACAAGGAGCGAAGACTCCTGGCGTGTGCAGGCAGGGAAGCTCCAAGACCATAGGTTCGAGTCCTGACCTCTCAAGATGACCAAGAGTAGGAGCTGGATGGAGACTAAAAAGCCTCAGATGTTGGGCTGACCTTCTATGAAAGTCACCCATCATGCTGCACCGTCTGTCAATGAATAGTTATGTACTTCAGCGAATGAGCTTTAAAAAAATTTTGGATGACACTTATAATAGTTTCCATTCAACCCACTATTTTATTTTTTATTTTTTTATATGTATTTTTTTAAACTGATTTTTTACAGAGAGGAAGGGAGAGTGATAGAGAGTTAGAAACATCGATGAGAGTCATCGATCAGCTGCCTCTTGCACACCCCCTACTGGGGATATCCCTGCAACCAAGGTATATGCCCTTGACCGGAATCGAACCCAGGACCCTTCAGTCCCCAAGCCGACGCTCTATCCATTGAGCCAAACCGGTTTCGGCTCAACCCACTTTATAGATGGGGGAAACTGAGGCTCAGAGAGGGGAAAGTCACTTTAACACCTCTCCCTTGATCCCAAGAGGTAGCTGCAATTTGAACTGGGTGGTCTAGCTTTGTTCTTCGGGTGCTGGGGATCCATGGGAGGGATAAATGTGGGACTAGCTGTTAAGGGTTGTCCCTAGGGCTGGTGGGTAGGATGAGTCAGGGGATAGGACAGGAGGCTTGGAGATCCGGAGGACCCCAAAGACCTGCTCCGAGCTCTCCCAGCCCACCTGAGGACAGTACTTAACATTTTAAACTAATTCTTTAAATCTTTACCTTAAAATATAGCTTCATAACACCACCCTAAATGCTGGCGTTGTATGCTCTACTTGTGCTTGGTACCAAGATGCCAAGTGGGGTGGTCTTCCGAAGAATCCCTTATCCTCTAAATAGGTTTTTTCCTTGATCAGTACTATAGAGGCTTTATAAGAAATTGCTGTCCCATGCTAGACAACTTCATGCAAATTGTTAAAGAATATATACTATGAAAACAAATTAGTACTTATATTGTAAATATATGCCAAAAAAATGTCTTCCAAAAGAAATAACAGTAGGCCATCTCTGGCCACCCCAATGACAAACCTGCTTGTCATGGGATATGGGTTGTACCAGCGAGGCCTGGCCCTGAGATCTTCAAAATGCAGATGCATCTGTGAGAGTATTTGCATTTTAATATGTGAATGTGAGGAAAGTACCTTCTAGATTATGTGTGTGTCTAGTTTATATGTGAGCTGAGCCATTCTGCATCTGCATCTCTGATTATAACTGGGTTTCCAAGGGCTCACTTACAGACAGGTCTGACTTTTGACACAGTGCTTCTAAACTGGGCGTCTGGTGGAAATATTTTCCCTTTAAATGGGGTCCATGCATTGCTCAGCATGAGCCATTTTGGGGAGTGTTTGTTCATTTGAGCTGCGCTGCAATGATATCAGAAGCTTTTATTTTTGTTAATCCTCACCCAAGGACATTTCCCCCCCATTTATTTTTAGACAGAGTAGAAGGGAGGGGGAGATGTAACATAGATGTGAGAGAGCCACATGGATTGGTTGCCTCCTGTACAGGGTCAGGGATGGAGCCTGCAACCAAGGTACATGCCCTACCGGCGAGGGTGATGTCAGAAGCTTTTAAAAGTTTTTCAAGGTGAACTAAAATCCAGGAGGCCACAGCTATTAAGGCAATTAAGACATTTGGGTCCTGGCCCTGACCGGGTAGTTCAGTTGGTTGGAGAGTCATTCTAATACGCCAAGGTTGTGGGTTTGATCCCCCTAGTAAGGGCACAGAATCAACCAATGAATGCATAAATAAACGGAACAACAAATTGATGTTTCTCTCTCAAAGCGGTCAATAAAACAAAACATTTGGGTCCTGTTGTTATTTTAAATCTCCTGAGGGTTTGTTTTGTTCAAAGCGGGTCCTCAAACTCCTAGACCACAGGAACGCATAGAGAGGCAGAGGCAACAGATGCGTATTACCCGATTTATTAGAGATCTCTTCAACATAAAAAGAGGGAGGGGTGGGGGGGCCGGGGCTGCACATGAGTGTTGTCAGGGCCAGCAGTGGCTGTAAGGACACGGAGGTGCCCAGGAGGCTGTGCTCCGGATTGTCACGTACTAGACCAGGGGCTGAGCACGCGGAAGCCCCGGTGCGAATTAAGACACACAAGGTTTGCAGTTTCGTTGTGTTTTGAAATCAGTTCAGCCATAAAAACAAGGTTGGGATGGGGACCGTGGGCTGTGGTGACAGTACCATGGCAAGAGACCCCATCAGGGATGGGAGTATTGCACTAAGCCAGGTGGTGGTGGTGGGGGAGGTTTGAGAGGCTGGCAGGGGGACACACAGAAGGTTCTACCTTGTCAGCCTCGAGAAATGCCTTTCGTTTTTACAGTACAGCAAGTCAGACCCCGCTGCCCAGGTTCTCGCGACAGCGGCTATCAGAGATGAGTCAGGAGAGAAGTGGGGCCATTAACAGATTTCCATCCTTGGGGGGCCGGTGGGTGACGGCGAGGTGGGCTGATCCAGGCCTTCCTGGTCAGGGGTCTGAGGAAGTCCATGGGTCCACTACAGTTATAAATAAGGTCTTGCCTCCTGCCCCCAACCCCGCCCCCCGCCCAGAAAAGAATGGACAAATGCCTCCCATCAGCACAGTCCTGGGACAAAGAATACAACACAAAATGGGTCTCCAAAGGGGCCTTTCTGACTTAACATGAACACAGAAACGCCACATCCAGGAGGTTTGCAAATTTCTCCTAAGAGTCAGCATCCAACCACTGCATTTGTTCCGTGTTTCCCTCAGGAGAGCCCAAGGGGCCCAGCAGGGACTGGGCTCGTTTCCAAACTGACCGAGGATGGCATGGACGCAGGGCCCACTGCCCCAGGGCTGTGCTGCTCCCGTCATCCCCGCCGGGGTTCGATGTCTGTGCCCAGCCTCGGGGGCCTGGGCGGTGACCCTCACGTTGGTGTCTGGGTGATGCAGCTGTCCCCGTTAAGTCCTCCAGGTCTGAGATGCGCCTTCAGGAGTCTGCCTGCCTTCTTGGTGGGACTGGTCAGGAGCAGACTGGGGACTTGTGGCCAGGGTGTCTGCAGACAGCACTGGTCTGAAGTCCAGGTGAGGATGTTCCCCAGGCTCTGGACAAGTGCTTCTTGGGAAGTAGGGAGAGAATGCTGTCTTGCTTCTTGTTAGGGGTACCTGCAAGCTTATTCTGGGGGTTCTCTGAGGCCCCCCTTCTCCAGGCTGCATGGAGTGTCTCCCAAGGCTCTGCTCAGAGTTGAGGTGCTGCCCCTGCACACCCAGCAAGAGGAGAGCCTTCGGGGTGCAGCCTGGTTCTCCAGGGAGGGGGGACAGCAGCCAGACCAACAGTTCCCTCCAGCAGGCTGCTGAGGTGGGATGAGGGGGGACCTGCATAGCAAGAACCAGCAACAGTATATGCAGCTTGCAAAGGACTCAAAAAGTCAGATTCCTAGATCAGTGAGTTATCTGGCTGCCTCAGGCTCCCCCAGGGAGGCAGGGGCTGGCGAGGAATTCTTCCAAAAGATGTGGCTTCTATTCCAGGCTGGTTCCCAGCTGTTCCCATGTGGGCCTGAGCTGGTGGGGGTCCACGGAGTGGGCAAGGGGCAGCCATTACTGACATTTCCTCTCAGGAGGTGGGAGTGTGTGTAGGTGGGGGTGTGAGAGACTCTGCAAAGCTGTTGGCTACAGCAGCCCCCTCAGGGTATCCTGGCATCACCCAGTGGGGCTCGGGGCCCAGGAATGGCTGCCCCTGTTGAAGATGACGGAAAAAATACTGTTTCTCATTAAAGAACTTTTTCCTTTAATCTGCACAGGTGTCTTCATCAATTAAAAATGAAAGAGAGGCTGCCCACCCATCATGGGGGGCCTCTTGCTGCAGAGTCTGTCCCTCTGGGCCTTGCGCCTGCCCATGGGGAGGGCCTGCTCCAGCTCTCTGGAAGTCCCGTGGCTAAGGGCCCAGCTGCCTCCTCTGAGTCGGACGTTTTGGAAATCCTTTGAAAAGGTGTCTCCCATCACGTGGGCCCTATCTTCCAGACACTAAGCGGTCCACGTGGATGGAGAGACGTCCACATCCCTGAGGTGGAGCAGGGCGGCGCCTGCGGAAACTCAGAGCAGGATTTTCACCTGGAACGGCTGGACCATGGGACACAGGTCCTCAAAGCCAATGAGCCTTGTTCTCTCAGCAAGACACATGCAAGCATAGCAAAGAACCAAAAAGTGCATAGAACAAAGTGTCTTCTTTTCCCGTGGTGTGTGTGTTTTTTGTTGCTGTTTTTTGTAAAAAAGCAGCCGTGTGCCGCCGTCTCTGTGCAAAGAGTAAGGACCCAAAATAAATACATGATCGGAAACTCAGGAAGGTTCACAGTATCACAGGCGCAGGTAGTTGACGGAACCGGGGCACTGCTTTGCAGCCCGGAGCATCAGTGACCATCGCCAAGGGGAGGAGGCGGGCGAGCGAGAGCCAGCGGCAGCCAGGTGGGCACCTCCTGTGCTCTGGGCCGAGCTGGGCTGGCCAGGTGTATGCTCCACTCCTATGGGTTGGTAGTTCGCGGGAATTACTGCAGGAGGCAAGAGAGGCAGGTGAGGGCAAGATGCGCCACGGCTGGACCCCCCACCCGCTGGGCCTCCCGTGATGTGGCCTGGCCCCACCACTGCTGCCTCAGGCCAGGGACTCCTCATGCCGTGAGGGCTGGACACAGACCCCACCGTACTTACATATGGGCTCCCACACAGTCAGAGCCCAGGCCTACCCCTCCCGCCCCAGACTTATTTCCCCTCAGTCCTCGGGGTGCTCTCAGCCCCAGTAGGCCAGGCTGGCGGGCCATGGGCACACTTACTGTGTCGCTCTCGCCGTCGGAGGCTGAGTGGGCCTGTGCGCTATAGTGGAGCGGGGAGTACACCCAGCTCCTCTCATCGGTGGGCTGGAGGGCGGGCAGGCGGCACGTGCAGGAAGGGCGCAGAAGAAGAGCAGGGTGTGAGGAGGCACCAGAGAGGTGAGAGGGAGGAAGGAAGAAACAGAAATAAAAGAGGCGGACCCCCAATGCAGGACAAGTGGGCAGCTCGGCCCCCGGCTGCCCTCGCCCTGATGGGGACCTGCCCCCAACCTGGATGGGCCTCGAGATGGGCAGGACCGGGGCTGAGTGGCCTGAGCAGGCAGGGAGGGCGGCAGGAAGCAGTGAGTGCAGTAGGGGCGTGCCGGCAGGGCGGGGAGGAAGGGTGGCAGGAGCTTGGTTACTGTGCTGTCCTCTCCTCCTCCTCTGCCCATCCGTGACACTAGCCCAGCAGTGCCCAAGCCCAGATCTCACCTGCCATGCAAGCTCTGGGGGCGCTTAAAGGTGCAAGGTGGTGGGTGGCCTAGTGCTCTTCCAGCTGTGTCTGGGGAAGGGGTTCCCCATTTTGTCATCAGATTGGGGGCAGGCGTGCTTCCCTGCCAGATCTGCTTTCGTCTCAAAAATCTCCCTGGGCCCTGGAGGCCTCCTCAGCTGTCTTCTTTCTTCCACCAGGCCTGAACACACCTCCCCTGGCCATGTCCACCTGGCTGTCCCCAGGCCCTAAACCTACCACAGCCACAACCAACAAGCCCCAGACCCACCTCTCCTGCACTCACTGCCCCTCAGAGCCCACCTGCTGCTTCCCCCAACCTGTGTCTGCTCAGCACCTCTCCTGCCACTCTCACAGGCCAGACCCCTGTGCCCATCTGTGGACTGGCACAAAGGCACATGGGGCAGCGGGACAAGACACTACTGTAGACCCCACTCACTCCTTCACACGGTGATGGCACAATACAAAACCCTGCTCATCGGCAGCAGCTCGCTCCGCCTCCCCTGCCCCCCTGGGAGCCTGAAGGCAGGGCCAGGGTGACTGGGGGCTGCTTGTATCCAGTGCCCAGCACAGGGCAGCTGCAGGAGGGATTGACACCGACCTAGCTGCCCTGCTGGGACTCAAAACATGAGAAAAGAGGGCCCCCTGGACCCTCTATAGAGAGATGGGTCTGGGGGAGGGAGGGACCCAGAAACTGGGGATGACCCCACTAGAGTTAGGCCAAGGGCTCATCTTCCTGCAGGCCTGAGGGCCCTTCCTGTCCTCCCATCCAGACTTCCTGTCCTCCCATCCAGCCTCCACACTTCGGTTTCCACTGCGCCCCCTGCAGACACTCTTCTGCTTCCTTTCCACCCAACCTGTGTTTTTTAAAGTCCAGGTCGACCCCTTCCAGGCCCCTTTGCAAACTGCTCCCCCCAGAGATCCCTAGGGGGTGCTGTGCGTCCCCAGCTGATGGGTGATGGGAAGACAGTGTGGCCGGAGGCTCTGGCGAAGTAGTCTTGATACCCAGTGGCAAGCAGTGGGGTTACTGTTGGGGCCGTGATGTGAGCCTCCTCTTGAGAACAGAAACTCTCCAGTTCTTTACCCTGATCCACCTGTTCACACTGTGCAGCTCTGGGCAGGTTACTTGGCCTCTCTGGGCCCTTCATTAATTGTTTATAATGATAATAATAGGACTGATAAGGTCATTGCTGCATGACATCTACATAGCATCTCACTGGGTGGATGAGTGTCAACTACACAGAGGCTGGACTTCGAATTTGTCTAAACTGTGTGCTCTCGTGGGCTCCCTGAGGAGCAGAGGCCTCAGTTATTCCATCTGTGAAGTGGATATGAAGATACTAACTCCTCTCTCCTGCAGCTAAGAGCCCAGCTTTGCAGTCCTCACTGACCCATTGACCATCCCCATCAGAAGGGCAGATGCCCCTTGGGGAGCCATCAGCAGAGAAGTGTCCGTTTGATTTGTCCCTTGCTTAGAAGGGTTGGGAAGAGGTGGCCTGGGGCTGGGGTTCAAATGTAGATTCTGAGAGAGAAACCAAGATGGCGGCATAGGTAAACGCCTAACTGCAGCCTCGCACAACAATTTCAAAAATACACCTAAAATACAAAATGGACATTATCCAGAACTATAGGAAAGTTGACTGACTGGAAATTCTACAACTAGAAGGAAAGAGAAAACCAGAAGGAAAATCAGAGGAGCTGTAAAAGCCTAAGGTACAGAGACACGGTGTGCGTGTGGGGAGAGGACGGAGCCAGAGAGGAGGGGAGACTGAGTGCCTGGCTGGCGTTCCCTAGCGGGAAGGAGATAAAAGCTCTGGACTGTGCTGAACCCCAGTTCTGACTGCTCTGAACTCCAGTTCCGACTACACTGAACCCCAGTTCTGGGAGAGACCCTGGGGACCCAGGCTCATACAGAGGGAATCTGGGCTGGAAGGTGGGAACTTGGGCGAGCAGCAAAAGGCAGAGCTCTGGAGGCGTGCACGTGAATGCGTGTAGAGGACAGACTGTTGATTGTCATAGTGGGAAGGAGACAAAAGCTCCGGACTGGACTGACCCCCACTTCTAATTGCACTGAACCCCAGTTCTGGGCTCATTGGGGGGCGAGACTAGACTGTCTGGTAGTGGGCGAAACTCGAGGGCATCTTGCTCTCAGAGGTGTTTGCAGCAAGTACCGAAGGAACATTACAAGTACTGAGGAACACTGAGACTCAGGAATCTGATAGGGAGGGGCAGGGGGGAAGCCAAGGCTGTAGGCTCCACCCTGAAACTCCTCCCCATCCAAGCTGACTGAGCACAGAGGCTTTTGCAATTTGCAAGTCTAGTCGAATAAGGCTGTCTCCTGGCATAGACATAGCAGATCCTCATAGCAAATTGGCCTGGAGGTCAGTTCCTCCCAATGATACCAACAACAATCAAGACTTAACTACAACAAGGCTGTACACACAGTCCACAAAAGGGTGCACCAAGAGTGTCTACCTCAGGTAACTGGGAGGCTGACCCACTGAACCATATAGGACCCCTTAGCACACAAAGCCACCCTACCAACTCAGGGAAACAGCGAAAATGCCGAGACAAGAAAACAGATCACAAATGAAAGAAATGGAGTACAACAAGCGACTGGATACAGAGTTCAAAACCACAGTTATAAGGTTTTTCAAGAATTTCCTAGAAAAGGCTGATAAAATAAATGAGACCTATGAGGATACGAAAAGGGATCAACTAGAAATAAAGAATACACTGTCTGAAATAAAAAATATTATATAGAGTCCTAAAAACAATGAAAGATCACAAGAATTAAGTCAAAGATTTGAAACACAAAGAGCCAGAGGACACTCCTCCGCAGAAGCAAGAAAACAAGAGAATCCAGAAAGTTGAAGATAGTGTAAGAAACCTCTGGGACAACTTCAAGCGAACCAACATCAGAATTATGGGGGTCCCAGAAGAAAAGAGAGAGCAAGATACCAAAAACATATTGGAAGAAATAGTGACAGAAAACTTCCCCCACCTGGTGAAAGAAATAGACTTACAAGTCCAGGAAGCGCACAGAACCCCAAACAAAAGGAATCCAAAGAGGACCACACCAAGACACATCATAATTAAAATTCCAAGAGCAAAAGACAAAGAGAGAATATTAAAAGCAGCAAGAGCAAAGCAGGTAGTTACCTATAAAGGAGCACCCATACGATTGTCAGCTGATTTCTCAACAGAAACCATGCAGGCCAGACGGGAATGGCAAAAAATATTCAAGGTGATGAATAACAAGAACCTACAGCCAAAATTACTCTACCCAGCAAAGCTATCACTGAGAATCGGAGGCCAGTTAAAGAGCTTCACAAATAAAATTAAAAAAAAAAAAAGCTAAAGGAGTTCATCACCACCAAACCAGAATTATATGAATTGCTGAAGGGGGTTCTTTAGGAAGAGGAAGAAAATAAAGATAAAAATTATTAACAACAAATATGTAACTATCAACAAGTGAATCTAAAAACCAAGGGAATTAAAAATTTGATGAACAATATTAACTGGTGAATATAATAGAATCAGAGGTATGGAAGGGAAGTGGACTGATGATTCTCAGGGAATAGAGGAGTGGGGGGTGCCGGAAGAGACTGAACACAAACTGTGCACCTATGGATGAGGACAATGGGGGGTGGGGAAAGGGCAGAGGGTGGGGTGGGAACTTGGTGGAGGGGAGCAATGGAGGGGGAAAAAATGAGGAACATTTGTAATAATATAAATAATAAAGATTTATTTTAAAAAATGTAGATTCCACCATGGCAAGGCTCGCTGAGCACCAGCCATGTACCTGCTGGCCGCTGATGCTAACTTCACAGGAGATTAAGTGACATTCCTACAGGACACACACAGCAGGGACCCTGCAAAGTTGTCATTATTATTTTCCCCAAGTCCCTTCTCGGAGGAAGAGGGACGGCCAGGCCCTGAGGCTCCTGGCTGCCCCGGGCAACGGGGCAGGGGCTGGGCTTCCTGGAGGCCTGCTGTGGTCACTTACAGTCCCCGAGGAGCTCAGCGTCATGGCCCGCAGTCGGCGATGCCGGGGAGAGTAAATCCAGTACCTCCCATCCGTGAACTGGGTGGGCCAGGAGGGCAGAGGAGGCAAAGAGAGGACAGGATGAGGGGACAGGAATGCAGAATCCAGCTGAGGTCAGGAAGGTCAGGTGGGGAGGGTGCTAGGCAGGGCAGGTGAGTCAATGGCAAAGCAGTAGGAGAGTTTGGGGGTGTCAGGGTCACACTGTGGCCTCTACCTTCTCCGCTGCCCCTTGTGGCCCAGCCACCCATTCACAGGACACAGCCCAACTGCCTCACACAGGATTCGAGAGAAAGGACACAAGTTAAGCCCCCAGGGATGGGAAAAGGATGGCTTGTAGGGACATGCATACAGTGTGCCCCCTGCAGTTCCTGGCAGGGCCCTGTGACCCAGCAGCACTGGCTCAGGACAGCAGGGTGGTGGTAGTTAAGAAGCAGCGATAGCAGCAGAGGGTCAGGCCCACCCAGGCCTGGAGTTTGAGGCCAGGCGCCAGGACTAGGGCAGTGGGGCAGCCCGCAGCTCACCTTCTCTTGGGGGCAGAGATGAAAATGGAGGTTTGGGAAGAGGTCAGGCAGCTGGGCTGCAGCATCTGGCACTCTCCGTTGCACCTGGGGCCATCTGACCCCTGACCACCATCCAGGGCCAGTGGACTAGACTTTGCAGGCTCGTGGCCACCCAGTACCTACCTCACCCAGGTTCCTGGCTCATCTAATCTGTCTGCCTACAGGAGATGCAAGGGGGAGGTGACCCCAGATTTGGGAGGGAGGCCCCAGTCTCCAGGGCAAGGCCCCTTCCTGCTCTGACGAACCCCGCCTTGTTGAGGAACAGTGGAGGCCCACCTGCCCCTTCACATTTCCCTCACCCCCTTAAGGACAAGCACCCAGCCACGCCCATCACCAGGAGGAGAAGACCCACAGCATTTCCAGCACAGACCAAGGACCGGGGCCCATTGGGGCTGAGAGCGTGAGGACTAGGGTGATTCCCAGGGGTCAGGGTGGCACAGCTGGGGCCTTGGCTGTCGCCAGGCAGTGGTCAGAAGGTCTGGGGAGCAAGGCCCAGGGAAGTTTCCTGGCCTTGGGATGGCCTGGCCTGGGTATGAGGCGGGCTGCTCACATACCACGTGAGTGTGCATGTGTTCAAGAGAATACCACGTGAGTGCCGTGAGCATGTTAAGAGCAATGTAAGTGTGGTGTGCAAGAGCGTGTGCAGGTGTGTGTGTGCCTTTCAAATGTGAGTGTGTGTGTGTCCATCTGTCAGTGTGAAGTGTACAAATGCTGGAGTGTGTGCTTGTGAACATGAGTACACATGTGCATGTGTATATAGGTATGATAATGTGTGTCCATGTGTGCGGGCCTGTCAGCGAATGTGCATGTGTGAGCACATGTGGGTCGAGGGCCCTGCGATGAGAGCCCCTGGAGGACTTACAAAGTAGATGTCGGTGGCGGGCGTGTCCTCCTCATCCGAGGCCTGGCTGGCGGGCTCTGAGGCCTGGCTGGCGGTTTCGGCTTCCACCACGATGGCAGAGGCACAGGCCGGGGAAGCCTCCACCCTGGGGACAGGGAAGGCCAGACTCTCAGCGGGATCATCCTTTCCTAGCCCACTCCCCTCATCCCTCTCCCCCCTCCTCCATCAGTGTGTCACCAAGCAGACAAGTCTTAGGAAGCCAAATAAAACTGACCACCACCCAGTTTTGTCATGACCCAGGTAATAACTGGTCTACCTGGACCTCTCCCCTCCCCCAGGCACACGAACTGTCCTGGCCTTGCCACTTATTCCCCCTGGACCCTCTACAGAGAGCTGGGTGAACGTAAAGCCTCCCTTTCCTTCTCTGAGCCTAAGTTACTCATCTGTAAAGTGGGGACGTGCAGTCTGAGCACTTATGATACACAAGCCTGCTAAAGAGCCTTGTGTGAGTGAATCCACTGCGTCCCCCTTGGGAAGGGTTTGCTGCTGTTCCGTGTCACAGAGAGGAGACTGACACTGAGAGAGATGGCGAGAATCACGCCCAGGCCTCGGCGGAAGGCTATGTGATTGCTACGTAATATTCATCTCATGAATACATGACAAGCTCTAGGTGACAAGAGTATCCCTAAGTTGTTCTTCAGTCATGTTTCAGGTCAGGTTGCTTTTCTGGGCAAAGACTGAGTCATATGTTACACTGCAAGGCTTCAGCGAAAACGCACAGTGGCAGAGACTGGAAGTGCATGTGTGCACGTGTGTGTGTAAAGTAAACTCTTAATGGCAAAGAGAAGCCTGGGAATGTGGTGTAAATGCTAAGGCCTCTTAAAATAGAACAGCAAAAAAAAAAAAAAAAAAAAAAAAAAGAACAGAAATTCTAAGTTATAGAATTAACTAGACCAAACAGATGAGAAATAAGACATAAAGAAACTGAATGACAACAATTAATACACTGACAGAACAGAGGACTTTCCATTCCCCGGCAGAAAATACACATTTCTCCCATATGTCCATGGATATTAAAAAACAAACAAACAAAAAAACTAATGGTGTACTTGACATAAAGACTTTAATCTGTTTAGAAAAAAATAGCATAGGTTTTTTAAGGCCACTTTTCAACTCAAAAGTAACATTAGAGTTAAGTACTAAAAGGGCAAAAAATAAAAAAAATCCTTAGGTACCCAGGAGTGCAGACACATTCCTGAATAAACCTCAGTCCATGGTCTCTCTCCTTGAGCGCTGCTGATATCAGGGCTGGGTCACTCTCTGTGGGGGGCTGTCATGAGCACTGTGGGATACTGGGTAGCATCCCTGGCCCCCACCCACTCAATGCCAGGAGCACCCCCACTTGACAACCACAGATGTCCCCATACATTGCCCAATGTTGTCAGTGGGCAGGACCACCCCCAGGTAAGCTTCACTACCTTAGATCTAAAAGGACACCTCAAGAGAAAAATCATTAGCTATCTATACATGAGCAAACATAAAAAGGAATTGCTTCATGTCAAAACTATTGGGACAGTAAAAGCAACACTCAGAGGAAAATGCATAGCCTTAAGAGCCTCTTACTAAAGAAAAAAAAAGGAACTTAAGCACTCAACCTATGCTGAAGAAAAAAAAACAAGTGAGAAAACAAATCCGAAGTTAGAAGAAAGAAATGACTGAGTTAAAGTGCATAAAACAAGAACAAAATATGAGAGGAGGAAGGGTGACTAAGACCAAAAGTGGTCCTTTGAAGAAACTGGCCAGTCATCCTCTCACAAGTGCAGGCAAGACTAAGAGTGAGGGAAGGGAGGAGAAAAAATCGCAGACACCACCGAGGTATAATCCCTGGACTGACACAATACATGCAGCTCTGTGAGTGAAACTGCTCGTCAGCACCTCAGTTCCTGAAGCCCCATTCCCATGCCTCTGCTCCCCAGAATGTGGACTAAATTTCCCAGCCTGCCTTGCTGCCAGCTGGCCATGTGACCATGCTCAGCCAATGAGACTGGGGCAAAAGTTGAGTACAGAAACCAAGCAACAGGAGAGCATTGGGCCACATGGACCGGACGGTTACTCACCCCTCTTCCTCCTTCTTAGGGACCACTATCTCCACACTGCATGGGGGCTCCACCTGCACTGTGATCTGCTGCAGGTCCTCCTCTGCGCCTGCCTCCTCCTGGGGCCTGGAGGCAATGGGATGGCATGCTCAGTTTCCCTCCTCACCACCTCCACTTCCCAGGTGCTCCAGCTGAGCTCTGAGCAGGAGCTGATTTCAGTCCCATGAGGTCTGAGGTGCTATCTCTACGTGTCAACCCACCAGCGCCTTAAGCAGGTCTAGCTCAGGCCTAGCCCTTTTGGCTGCTATGCCCCCCTGGGGGCTTGGAGGGGACAGCAAATGACCATCCACTTGGGGTTGTCCTGGGACTCTGGCACCACAGGGGCACATGAATGACGGGCGACATGAATGTTGCCCCCATACCTGGGGTGGCTTGGAACCTGCCTATGGCTGAACTAGGGGTGGGGTGGTTTGGGGGCCCAGAGGCTGAGGCCCCAAGTGTAGGTTGATCAGAGCCTTTGGGCAGCCAGCAGGCAGCTGGACAGAGGGAGATGTACTTTTCGCTAAATGTGCTTTGTACCATGACTTTCTTTTCAACTGGCAAGAATTATCTTCTCAATAGCTAATTCTGGAGAGCAACCCCTATTTCACTCCAGTTGAGTGACAAGATCAAACAACTGGGAACTACCCAAGTATTCCCCAAGAGCAGGAACAATCTGTTAGAAGGAAGAGAACTGCCTGGCCAGTGTGGTTCAGTGGTTGAGCATCGACCTAGAAACCTTGAGGTCACAGTTAAATTCCCAATAAGGACACATGCCTGGGTTGTGGGCTTGATCCCCAGTTAGGGGGTGTGTAAGGAGCAGCTGATTGATAATGTTTCTCTCTCGTCAATGTTTCTATCTCTCTATCCCTCTTCCTCGCGCCCCCCCTCCCACACTAAAAATTAGTAAAATCATATCTTTAAAAAAAGAGAAGGAAGAGAACCAGCAAAGGCTCAGAGCAACAACCTTCATCTGGAAAGTGACAAAGCAAGGAACAGGGGCACAGAGCCACAGCTTTTGTCAAAGCAAAAGGGAGAAACAGGCCTGAGGGTATGTTTGCTTGTATATTCATAAAATGTCTCCGAGAGAGGAAAGAATATCTAGGCCGGTGCTCCCAGGGAAGGGGCTGGGCATAGAGCAGAGGCAGAATCTCACTGTGTGCACTTTTATACCTCTTAGAATGAAAAAAAAGAATTAACAGGTACAGGGGAGGGGGGCACCAGGTGGGAGTGAAACACCAAGTGACGAGATTCTGTGTGACTCTAGAGCCTGAAGATTGATGGTTAAAATACATCTGTTCCCAGGACAGAGGGCTCTGGGTGGAAATGTGGAGGGTGAGCTTGCAGGAGGGAAGGGGAGGGCGGAAACGGGGACAAAGGGGTTCTGCAGGAGGAGCTGGGCAGACTGTGGAGCCTAGAGGAGACTGGAAGGGAGGGGTAGGGTCTCGTCTTACCGGCTGTCCGGTCCGGAGGACTGTGTGCGCCGCCTTCCGAGAGAACACAGACAGGTGGAACAGATGGCACGGACAGGGAGGCCTCCCACTGCCCCACCCGCCCAGGCCCTGTGCGGGCCCCTCCTTTAGGAATGCAGGCTGCCTCTGAGCTGGCCCACCTCCTCCTCCTGCTCACCTGTACCTCGGCTGCTCTGAGGTCTCTGAGGGGGACCGCTCTGGGATGGACAGGGACGTGGAGGACAGGGTTGTGGCGATGGATGCAGTGGTGGCCTCCTCGAAAGAAGGCGGCGTGCAGGGCAGGAGGTCAGGCCGGCCTGTGGGAGGAGGCGGTGGGTTCCTGTGGGAGCCAGGCTCCCAGGGCCTGCTGCAGGGACTCGGCTCTGCTGCAGCTCCCACGGGTCACTCCAGTTTTCCCAGCACAAGGATTCCAGTACCTTCCAGCTGCTCTCAAACTGAAATCCAAACTGCCTCCCTGCAGTCCTGCCCTCCCTGCCTTCATCAACTCCCTGCCTTCACCTCCCCCCCTCGCTCACTCCGCTGCAGCCACAGGCCTCCTTACAGTTCCTCCAACCTGCCAGGCACCGTCCTGCCCCAGGACCTTTGCGCACGCAGTTCCTCCCTTGATGCTACTCCCCAGCCCCTCCCTGACTGGAATCTCTGACCCTGGTTGCTTGGAGGGACCTCCAGAACATCAGGCCCATCCCCACTGAGCATTTCCTCCTTCCGGCCTCCGTGTCCCTTCCAGGGCGGTGCTTCCTATGCTTAGTTCTCCCCGCAGGTCTTCCTGGCCTTGTCCCAGCCATTCCCTCCCCCCAGGGAGCTGCAGGTATTGAATTGGAAGGGGACCCTCCCATTCGGGCTTAGCCCAGCTTCGGGGGTCCCTTTCCTCACACGGCATTGCTATTGTTGCTCCCTGCACCCTAACTCTAAGCCCCCAGGGATGGTGTCTTTCCCCAGCAGCGGCCTCATTTCTCCTTCACAAATGTGCCCACTCCCGCTGCCGTCACCTTCGTCCTCCAGCGTGGGGTAGCTGCGGGCCCCGCGCAGGTCGTACTGTGCATCCTCCCGCTCGCAGGGGATCTGGCTGGCCGAGAAGGCCGCGGTGGGTCCCAGGGGCTTGACCGCCAACAGGGCACCACGGCCCTTCTTGGATGGTGACGACTTCAGGGCTGGGGAGGGAGAGTGGTTGATGTGCTTGGGCGGCGACAAGGCAGGGACCCACTGACCTCCATCTCTCCTCCGCATGGAAGAGTGGTGGGCACCAAGGGGCCACCACCTGTGCGCATGGCCCTCACTGTGCCAGTTCCAGCCTGTTCCTCAGGCCTGGGGCCTGGAGGCAATGGGATGACATTCCCAAGAAGCAATGCTCTTCCTGGAGAAAGCCCTGCCCTGCTTCCACCGGCTCTGCCCACAGCACAAATGGAACCTAGCGCACCCCCCTCCTCCCCCCCGGGCCCTCCAGAAACAGCAGCTGACTCAGCAGCTGCCAATGTTTATTTGAGCACTTCGGGGCCTCGCCCCTTTGGTCCCAGCCCACCATAGCTGTGGCCCAACATCAAACAAGAAAACGGAAAGCCTTGGGGACCTGGTCCCAAGCCAGGCTGTGTGGCCTGGAGGAACAACTCAGCCTCTCTTGACCTCAGCATCCTCGTCGGCAACAAGGTCATGCGAGGCAGGGAACCCCGTAACTCTGTCATCGCCCGGCCCCGTCCTCCCCTTGCTCCCGTGGAGGCCAGCGCAGCTCCCCGCACACTAGGTGCTCAGTTTTCCCGTTAGGCCGGTGACCATCGCAGTGCCCACCGAAGGCACATGTCCTCAGTGACAGAGCGAGGCTATGGGCAGCCCTGCTGAATGCTGGCGCTGGACTGGTATAAACACATGCTGCCCTCACAGCTCTGTGCTGATGGGAAACTGAGGGCTGTGATCTCTACTGGCTGGAGGTCCACACAGGCAGAATGAGGCGGAGCCAGAACCCAATGTGGACATGGGCACCAGGCCCTGTGCGGACCTGTGTGGCGCGGCTGCCTGACTACCCTGTTCTCGGGACCAAGTCCCTGGCTGAGCCCTGAGGCTGGCCAAGCAGCAGAACGAGGCCCCCTGGTTTACCGCACTCGTGCTGCCTGCTCGCCTCTCCACACCCCCGTCCCTCCTGCTCAGAAGGCCAGGGCGACTCACAGGAGTTCTTCCGAAAGACTGTGTTGCTCATGAACTTGAAGAAGCGCTCGGCGTAGAAGCTGGGCCGGTGGACAGAGACAGTGTCCTGGGGAGAGATGTGGGGGCCCGAGGGCGAGCAGGGTGTGAGCACCGTGGCTGCCTGTGTCCCGCAGGACAGCCCAGACCACTGGGGGTGGGACGGCCTCCTCTGCGGAGGGGATAGTAGGGTCGCAGCATGGGGCTTTCTGGAGGGGCCCCCGGGAATCAGGTAAGAGTGGCAGGAAGAGATGTGGAAGGCTTTTCCATGATAAACCTATCTGTATTTTTAATTTTTTGAGCCATGTGATTAATTATTCAAAGAACAAATCAAAGTAAATGGGTAAATATCTAAAGTAAGGAACCAGAGGGATTTTCTAAAGCAGGGATTGTCAGAGCATAGACCAACACCTGTTTTGTAAATAAAGTGTTTTTTTGTTGTTGTTTTTAAAATACATTTTTATTGATTTCAGAGAGGGAGATAGAGAAACATCAATGATGAGAGAGAATCATTGATTGGCTGCCTCCTGTATGCCCCACACTGGGGATTCTCTTTCATCATTGATGTTTCTATCCCTCTCTCCCTCTCCCTTCCTTTCTCTGAAATCAATTAAAAAAACAAAACAAAACAAAACAAAACAACACACACACTTTTTTTCTTTGTTTTAAAAAGAGCCTCTTGCTAGTTGGCCACCTGGATCTTCTCAATGCATACTCTGGAAGCTCCCACTTGACCCTCCACACTCTCTGAGGGTGTGGAGGATTATAGATTGGGATCTTAGCATTTTACAGACTGTAGGCACACAGTCCTTAACACTTCAGTAAGAATTGGTCTGAAAGGGGGGGCCCATAGAAGGAAAGTTATCCACCAGGGCTGGCTGTTGCCAGAGTTGGACCAGGGGTGTCAGGGCTGATGGGGTCCCACAAGTGGGCTGTGTGGCTCCCAGTGGTTGGTTCTCGCAGTTTATTATGTTTAGAATGAATCCACTGCAGGGGTTTCCACACGGGCAGTGCTCAGGAAAAATTGCATTGCAGGCTTTTCTCAAACAACAGAGATGCTCTGCTGGAGTGGGCCACATGCCCACCTGGTAACAGAAGTCAGAGCTGTGTGGTGCCCCTGGGCCACGACCCCCTCACTTTTCCAGCCAGCCTGTCCCTGGGAGGCCTTTCAAGTCAGCTGGGGGTCTCCTCCTTCAGGAAGCCTTCCAGTATGTATCCCTCACAGATGGCTCAGACCCGGACCCCTTCCCCGAGACTGCCTGGTCACAGGGCCACCTCTGCTGTGCAGCTACTCCAGGAAGGAGGGAGAGGCTCAGTTCTTTAGCACCTGTGGCTGGCCAGGGATGTGGTCACTGCACTTGTGGACTGACGGAATGAATAAGTGAGTGAGTGGGTGAATGAATGATGCTCACCCCATCGTGGACAAGTGCCTTCCAGGTGTGTTCCAGCTTCTTGATGAACCTGGCAGAGAAAAAGCACCCAGAACATCAGCCAAATCTTTGGGTCCGGGACTTCTCTCCCAGGACAATCCTGTCCCCAGAGGACCCTGGGCAATGTTAGGGGACATTTGTGGTCATCACAAATGCAGGTGCTCCTGGCTTCAAGCAGGCGAAGCAGCCCTGGTTAAAGGAAGTAAAGCTGTTGCTGCTTCAGCCAGAGGCCACCTACCCACTTTCCTGTCCCCACCTTGTCCCCTGCCCTGCCTGCCGGCAGCTCCCACTCCCGCCGATCTGGAGGAGGAGGTGGAAAGGCAGGGTGGCTGGCCCTCCGCGGCGGACAGAGTGCTAGTGCCTCCCAGAGCTTGCCTTTCCTCTTTTCCCCGGACAGACGGAGCCAGATCCTCTCTGCTGGAGTCCATGCCCTGAGCCAAGGCCTCCCGCCAGGACCCTCTAACACATCAGGGCTGGGTACAATGCCATCTCCCCCATGCAGCCTTCCTGGACTCCCCCCTCATTTGTGGGGGGAAGAAACCTTCCTTATGACACCACTACCCACACTTACTTGCTGCCATGTGCTGCCCACTCCCTCAGTCCCCACCACCACCCTCCCCCGCCCGATCCCCCGTCCCGGGCCTGGGCTGAAATCCTGGCTGGCTACTCCACAACCTGAGGGAGATGCCTACAGGAGACAAGGCCAGCCCTCCGATATGAAAACCAAACAAAGCAACAAGGGCTGTGAAAGTTGAAGAGCAGGAGCCAATTTTTACAAAGTAAGTCCTCACTTACAGGTTCTGAGACTAACGGAAACAATGTGTACAAAATCAACTTTACCATAGGCTAAATGATACAAACATGAGTTATGTTCCCAGGCATCTCAGCAATGTTATAACGCAACCATGTTGAACGAAATGATGTTGTTCAAGGACCTGCTATATTTAAAACAGAGAAGTGTGTGAAAAAATCGGCCTTGACCTGCCTCCGACATCAGAGTCCCTAGGGACGAATCTAGATTCCCGGGAATCCCTGCGTTGGACCGAATGCTCCCTTTGGGGCTGGGGAGGGCAGCCAACAGGAGCCTTCCTGAGGCTGAGAGAGCCTTGCAAGCAGACAGCACCCAGCTTCCCTGAGCAAGTGCACCCGGGGCCCAGGCACCCACCTGTAGGACTGCAGGATGTCGATGATCCCGATGTGCAGCAGCAGACGCTCCCCTCGGCCATTCACGGCGGGGATCCCCCCCATCCTGGAGAGAGAGGAGCCCAGGGCGCCATCACCCACACATCCAGGGGAGGACCAGGGACCGGCCCCGCCTGCTCAGGTCCAGGTGGGAGGGGCTGGGGCTCCAATCCTGGTCTGGGACTTGGGGAGAGAGGAGCCTGGGCGGTGTGGCTCACAGGTTGAATGTAGACATACGAACTAGGGAGTCACGGTGATTCCTGGTCAGGGCACATGCCCAGGCTGCAGGTGCAATCCTCAGTAGAAGGCATGCAGCTGACCAATGGTTCTCTCATCATTGATATTTCTATCCTTCTCTTCCTCTCAGAAATCAATACAAATATATTTAAAAAACCCACATGACCCTACAGATGGTAGCTTGGCTGGACCTTCAGCGGGGTCCCAGCACAGGGGACCTCCATCTTGGCATGGATGGAGCAGCTCTAACAGCCACTCAAATTCAAAGCTGGAGGCCTGAGGCTGCTGAGGGGGTCACAGCAAAGAGGCCCAGGTGCACACACACATACACATGCACGTACATGCAGGCACACGCACATACACACGGTGCACTTGCATGCACTCGTGTAACTTGCACACAAACACACACACACACTTGCCAATTCTGCATACATATGCACACGCACACTCCCAGGCAGGACGGCTAGGGCTCTTGGGTGCAGTCTGGGGAGTTAATTGCCTCACATAGTCTCAATCCTGAACATGCCCAGCCCAGATGGCTATGAGGTTACACGATGTAGCAGCTATCCCAAAGCCACCATAACCCAAACCCCCCCCCATCAGGCTCTGCTCACTGCACTCCATGCACCACTGAGCTCACCTGCATGCCCTGCCATCCCCTGCCAGGCCCTGTGCAGATCCTACAAACATGCCAGGAGGGTCTGAGGTCAGGGCCAGCTGTGCAGGGCCTTTGCACGTGCCACTCCCGCCCACCTTGCTCAGGCGTAGCCCTGTGCCTGGTTCCTCCTCTGCCTTCCACAGCTGGTGGCCTCCTCGAGCCTCGGCCCCACCACCAGCTGGCTGAGCACACAGGATAGCTATCTCCATCCCGCCTCTGAGCCTCTTTCCTCAGCAAAAGATGGGAGATGGCCCCTCCTCCTCAGGGCCCCGTAAGGACAGAACAGGGTAATGTAGGTTCCCGGCATGGTCAGTGCATGGCTCATGGACAATCCTGACTTATCCATAGCAGTTCTCATCTGGAGTGACTGCCCTTAGGACATCGGGACATGCCTGGGGATATCTGTGGTTCTCTCTCAGGGCAGGGGCAGGTTGGGAGGCGGAGGCTGAGTGGGTGCAGTCAGGGGAGAAGCTCCTCGCTATGACCTTGCCATTTGGCATGGCCACCTTTTATCTTTGGGGAAGCAACGCTCTCAGTCCTGCCCACTGGGGTTCTGGGTTAGGTAACTTGCTATAAAGGGACTCTCTCATCCCGTCATCCCCATACCCTGTGCCACCTTCCAACATCTGTCTGGTTGTGCTTCACACAGTGGGTCCAGCAGGAGGGAGGGGACCTCTATGTCTCCCACGTGGATGGACAATGGCCTGAATCCCCTGATCAGTGTCTGCCAAGATGGAAACACCCTGGCCACAGCCGTGCGTCATCTGTCTGACCTTCACCAGGCCTGGTGGGCAGACCGCTGTGCCTGTGTACAGACCAGGAACTGGCCACAGACAGGCTTCTGCCTGGTTTGCTTTGTCATTGCTTGCCTTCTCTGCCAACTTCCCTGCCCATGCTCACACCTGGCAAGAGGGTGTGGGTAGAGACAAGAGCCCGAAGCCCCGGCAGCTGCACCACCTACGTGTCATCCGTCTCGATGGCCTCCCCACACGCAGCCCCGCCCTGGATGGACTCCATGGCCGTGGAGTAGAGTGCCTTCTGACCGAGCGGCCGCTTCTCGTCTGTCGTGCTCTGCGCACCCTCAGCCTGCCACTCCCGCTCCTGCTGGTCGATGTTGTGCACACCCAGGAGCAGGCTGTAGTCCATGATCTTGAAGCTCTCCAGCACCTACCGAGTGTGTGGGGGGGAGAGCGTCAGGACACTGCCCTGTCCCCACACCCCTGCCCCCAAACCCGGTGGTGACTCCAAGCTGCGCAATCTGCATCTCTGTCCGTCTGTCTCCACAGCCACGCAGAGAGACCCTGTTGCTATCCCCATTTCAGACAAGGGGACCAAGGGTGGAAGGCCGGGCTGTGCAGCAGGCAGATGGCAGCAGAGCTGGGATTGGCCCCATAAGGTGGCCGAGAGTGTGGGTGTAACCCACGGCCAGACCGCCTCTTTGAACCAGGACAGAAGGTTTCCTCCCCTGAGACAGAGCAGCTGGCTCTGTGTTCCCACTTCCCTGGCGCCGTTGGGGAGCTGGGTGCTGTGGATGCAACACCCACTCCAGCCCACGGCGGAACCCAGGCACGTGACCATCAGGCTTGGGGAATGAGCCCCCGATGCCGAAAGGCCCTGAGACATCAAAGTGGTTTTCTGGTGACGCTGTGTAAAGTTTTCCACGGGGTCTGTGAGTTGGGGGCAGGGGGCTGAGGAGACAGGGACACAGAGCAGAGGACAAGAGAAGACCCAGCCCAGCCCCTGACAGCCGAGGATCTTGGCAGCGATGCCCCTGCCAGGCCTGTTTCCTCATCACTAGAGGGGGGAGTGGCCTGACCTTCCAGGCTGTGGGAAGGGTGGGGTGGGCGCAGGCAGACTGAGGTTATAATAGCTCGTGAAGACCCTGCAGAGCATCTTTATCCCTAAAAAGCACCTACTGTGGGAGAGAGCAGCATGGAGCCAGTGAGTGCTGGGTGGTGGGGCAGGACTGGGCCTGAGGTGCCCGCTAAGAGCCATGAGCATGGCGAGCTGCTTCTGTGGGTTTGGGCTGTGCGGTAGGAACAGTCTGATTCAGGACACAGGGGTGAGGGGAGCAGAGGGAGCTGGTGCTGGGCTGTGTGTCTCGGGCTCACACTGCACTAGTGTTCACCAGCATCGCCGGTTCAGAGATGGGAAAACTGAGGCTCAGAGAGGCTTGGACCACACAGGGGCGTGCGTCCCCAGGTCCCACCCTTACCCCCCGCACTGGCCAGGGCACGGAGCCTGTGGCTGCAGTGGGACTGGGCGGGGCTGGGGCCAGGCTCACCAGGCAGTCCCGCTGCAGCGTCTTGACGAGCGCGGAGAAGGTGTCGGCGTCCAGCAGGAGCCCCTCGGGCATGTCCTGGATGAAGTCCAGGTCCTTGTAGGTGGGGATGCTCTTCTCCCGCTCCTTCTTGCTGGCCCGCCGCTTGTATGTGGAGCCCTTGAGATCAAACTTGAGGTGCATCTTGACCATGCGTGGCAGGATGTTGTTCATGACCACCACACGGATGTTCTTGCCCCCGGACTGCACGCAGTACAGCCCATAGAACTTGGGCAGGAGCGTCCGTGGATTCTGGTTGAGGTTCTGAGGGGTGTGAGAGGGGAAAGTGTCGGTAGAAAGTAGCTAGGAGGCCACGCTCTGCCTGGTAGCCACTCCCACACACCCTGGCCACATACACAGCCACTCAGATCTCAGGCCAGAGGTCACCTCCTCAGGAAGCCCCCTGACCGACCACTTCCTTCCCCAGCACCCCAACTTTACACGGTCACACCAGCCAGTTTAATTCTCTGTCTCCCCATCCAAACAGAAGCTCCAGGAGGGTCTGTTTCTACAAGCCAGGTGCAGAGCATGGCCAACCCCAGAGCAGGGGCTGGCAAATTCCAATCCGAGGGCCAACGCCATCCAACTGCCTGTTTTCACACTAATGGTTTTATGTTAGTGAAGAGTTGAAAAAACATACAAGAAAAATAGCATTTTGTGACATAAAAACTTCATAAAACTCACATTTCAGTGTCCATAAATAAAGTTTTATTGACACTCGGCCTGCCGGTCCGCTTAGGCCTGCCTATAGTGGTGTTCCTGCTGCAGTGGCAGAGCTGAGCTGTAGACAGGCTGTTGGCTCACATAGCCATCTGGCTCTTTACAGAAAGTTTGCTGGTCCCTGATCTAAGGGACGCAGGGGTCCCACCAAGATCACACATGGCAGATGAGGGACACCCTAAGGTAGGGGTGTCGAACTCAATCAGAGAAGGGGCCAAAATCTAAAATCCAGCCTAAATCGCGGGCCGAATGGTTTACTGAACAGTCATAAACTGTCATTGAGATGGAAACGCAGCGGAGTGCAGTGATGACAGCGCGGTGCGGGCCACATTGCAAGGCCTGGCAGGACGGATTTGGCCCGCGGGCCTTGTGTTTGACACATGTGCCCTAAGGGGAGATGGTCACAACCTGGGCAGAGCACCCAGAAGGGTCTGTCCCCATCCCCACCAGGTCTGCACAGCAGAGCAGTGGACACTCAGGAGCCTACCTGAGCATAAGGACCCCGCTCCCAACCCTGCCCAGGGGCCTGAATGCCCTTTTGAGTCCTGAGCCATAACAGAATGGGGATGCCAAGCAGCTGGTCCTTTGAGGTGCCAGCTGGCGGCCCTGCTCCTCTTCCCCTGTGCCTCTGAGTCACCAAATGCCGAAGCACTCTGTCCCTAAGCCACCATTTCTGGACCAGGACTCAGGGACATCGGTGGGGTGGAGAATGGGAAGCCAGAGCCTGAACAGAAATTCCTGCTCACAAGTGTGGGGGGCTGCCTGGAGGGTCTCTGAGGGTGAAGCCACGAGACCCAGGAAGAACCTTGGGACCCATCTTCCAGGGCCTCAGAGCCTCTGCTCCTGTGAAAAGGAGCTGGGTGTGGAGCAGAGCTGCTGCGTGTGCCGAGAGGAAGAGGGGTAAAGGTTGAGGGAGGCAGACGGGCTGGAAGGAAGCCCGGGGCACTGCCCCCAACCTTCGGAGCCCGGCGGGAACCCATGACCCCTACCATGTAGTAGCCGGGCAGCAGTTTCTGCAGGAACTCCGCCTCTTTGTGCATCACCGTCTTAATGATGAACTCATCGTCGCTGGTGACGTAGAAGAGGGAGCCGCTGGCGCCGGGGTTGGACAGCTCGATCAGAGGCTCATTGCACAGCGAGTACTGGAAGGGGAGTGGTGAGTGGGTGGGGAGGTCCCATCTGTGATGAGCTCATAGGAGGCAGTAATGATTGCTTTGCTGGCAGGCTCTCTCCCTCCCTCCTGTGTTGAGGGAAAGGGAGCCCCAGCCTACAACCAGCAAGGAACTGAGTCCCGCCAATGACACGAGCTTGGCATTGCACCCTTCCCCAGTCTAGTGTCACATGAGACCCCAACTACTGCCCACCTCTTGATTACAACCCTGAGCAAAGAGCCCTGCTAAGCTGCACCCAATTCTTGATCCACAAAAACTGTGAGGTTACAGCCAGGTGGTGAGTTGAGCCACTGAGTCTGTGCTAACTTGTTTCAAAGCAACCACTGACTAACACACCTACCAAGTAATCATCTGGCCGGATGCCGAAGAGTTCCCGGAAGTAGCGGAAGGCGACAGGTGCATAGGTCTTGAACCTGAAGTCCTGGAAGTGGTGGGCGGGAGTAAGGTTGCTGCCTTCGCTGTGGGGGAAGGAGGGAGGAAAGCCTGTGAGGGACGGTGCCTCTAGGTGCTGTGTGGCCTTCCCTAAGTGGCTACACTGAAAGGCAAGCTGAGGCTTCCAACGGGCCCGAGCGCTGTGGCCAATCTCAGGAGACCCAGTGTCCACTCTCCCCTCCTTCCTTGACAAGAGTCCACAACGTGGCTGAGCACATGACCGCCTGTAATGAGACCACTTCCCAGCCTCTCCTGCAGCTAAGTGTGGCCAATGAGCTGTGAGTGGGCCAGAAATGATGTGTGTCATTTCCTGATTGTGCCCTCTCCTTCCTGCTGTTAGAATGCAGATGTGATGGCAGAAGCCTAAGCAGCCACCTGGGCTGCTGGTTAGAAAAGCTGCATACACTGAGGAGGATGGTGGAGCAACAAGAAGGAACCCAGGACCCACCTGACCAGCCCTGGATTGGCTATAGGTTTTTTTTGTGTGTGTGTGTTTTTGTGTGTGTGTGTGTGTGTGTGTGTGTGTGTGTGAAAGAGATAGAAAAACAAACTTCTATCTTTTTTCCCCTATTAAAAAATACCCACTATTACATCGGCTCTCTGTCTCAGCAGCAAACTAATGTCCTAATGGATACCGAGTCAGACCTCAAAGTCAAACAGACACCAGTAAAGGCTATTTGCAGCAGAGAAGGGAGCTCAGAGAATACGAGGCTGTTTTGTATGACAACCCTGTGTCTGCCGGGGAGCTGCTGGGAGGCGTGGGAGCCAGGCCTACCTGGGGAAGAAGATGCTCTCCACGACGTAGAAGTCCTGCATGAGCACGTCTCGCTCTGGCTTGGAGCTCAGGTTGCCCACAGTGTAGCCGATGCCCAGCTGGATGGCCCCCTTCAGAGTGGAAGACGTGGTCTGTGGGGAAAGGTAGCCACATTAATACCTACCCCTGGGCCAGTCCCTACCCCAGCCCTGGGCCCAGGGTCCTACTAGCATGTATTACAGATTTGCAGGTCTTAGGCAAGTCACTCGGCCTGCAAACCCACACAGCAACGAAGTGAGTTGGCCAAGACTCCAATACAATCTCTTATGACACCAAGGCCCATTTTCAATCAAGATTATAGAACATTCCAACATCTCAAAACTGCCCTGATGCAGCAGGAGTCTATCCACCATTAGGGTTGTTTGGAAGAAGGGACACAGCGTATGGAGGGACACCCAAACTTCATTTCTGTAGCCTGGGTTTCTTCTACCCACTTTCTAGGTGGTTCATATCATCATGATCAGAGAGCGACATTGGCTCTCTGTGCCTCAGTTTCTCCATCTGTAGCCAGGAACGGAGATGAGTGTGTTAGCTCACGTGAGTGGCCCGGACCAAAAGCTGCCTATGCCTAAGGAGCATTCGCTGTTTGCACTTTTCTTATCACTGTGGTTTACAGAGATGAGAGAATCATTGATCAGCTGCCTCCTGAATGCCCCTACTGGGGCTTGAGCCAGCATTCTGGACATGTGCCTTGACTGGGAATAGAACTATGACCTCCTAGTTCATAGGTCAATGCTCAACCACTGAGCCACACCAGCCAGACTGGGAGGGGGTATATTTTAGGGGAGATGGAAATATTCTAAAATTAACTGTGGTGATGACTGCACAACTCTGTGAATACTCCAGAGACCATCGAATTGTACACTTCAAAGGGGGAAATCACATGGTGCGTGTACTCTCTCCCAGCAAAGATGTGTATCGGAAAGCACAACTGAGAAAGGGAGGACTAACGGCAGTGGGCTCCAGGCTCCCTGCACACTCACGTGTCTGGGCCTGGCTCAGTGCTTCCCATTACCAGCTCACTCAGCCCTGCTTTCTGAGGGAGAAAAGGGATGATTTCCTCTATCACAGATGAGCCAGCACGGCTGGGAGCTGAGGTGACTCCTGGAACCAGGAAGGCTGTGCAGCCTGTGTAGCCTCAAAGCTAGGCTGCCTGAGATGATGACATGCAGCAGAGACCTCGCCAGGACTGAGGGGCCCATGACCTCAGTGGACACTGTGTATGTGCGTGTGGGGCAGGTGGGTCCCCTGAACTGCCGAGGCTAAGGGCAGAGGAAGAACCTTTTTGTACGTGGTTTCACCAGATGCGTCCACACCCCGATGGCCCAGCTTCCTCCCGTGACCAGGGCCCGGCTGTCCACTCATAGACGGGGCCTAGAGAAAAAAAACAGGAAGCATTAGAAGTCAGCAAGGAGGAGCCACTGAGGCCCTAACACTCCAGAAATTCTGGCAGGAGAGAAGCTTAGTCACCGTGCCCAGCTGGCGCCCAGGGCGGGCCATGTGGGTCGTGAAGGGGGAAGCTGTGTGGGCAGGATGCACACCCAGCAGGCAATACCTCACGTCCAGAAGGGCCCACAGGCAGACCAGGCCACCAGCTCCTTGAAAAAGCTGGAGGCTGGCAGCCCCGACCACCCAGGCCTAACTTTAGGGTCTTTCCCTCAGTTCTGCTGACACTGGAGCCAGGTCATTCTCTGTGGGGGATTTCCTGCGTACTTTGGGCGATTAACCAGTATCCCAGGTCCCAACCCACTCAATGCCAGGAACAACCCCAGTGTGACGAGCACAGATGTGCCCAGACATCATTCAGTGTCCCCTGGGGGCAAGCAGCCCTCTGGGCTGAAATAACTACAAACAGCACCCCCTCCTGGGAGCAGGCCCAACCCCTGAAGCTCTAGGGGAAGCTGTGGCAGGTGTGACACTGGCCATCCCAACCCATTTGCGTGAAAGCTACGGGCCCTCATATGTGACATCATCACAAGAGGAGGACCGTGGAAAGGGCAATGGGAGCCTGGAGGGACACAGAAGCCAGGTTAGAATGAGGGGCCAAGGCCAGCCAGCAGACAGGAGCTGAGTGACTCTCTGGTGGCTCCACCTGTCACTGACATTTAAGAAGTACCTACTATGTACCTACCACCATTCAAAACCCTCACACAGTCCTTCCGGGCACCAGCCCAGCCGGCACTGCCCCACATTAGTTCCAGGCAGCCCTCAAATGGCCTCCACCAGCCATCGCTCCTCAGCTTGGCTCCTTGTGTTCTGCACATTGGCCACTAGGGGGCGGGACTCCGTCAGGAACCTTGTGTTGCTGCCCCTGCCTCACACCTCTCACTGGCTCCCTATTGCCCTTGGAGCCCCTAGGCCCACCCATCTCCCCCCCACCCCCCACTGTCCTGCGATTTCAGTGCACTGCAGGGCCCCAGCAAGTGGACAATGCCCTCCTTAGAAGGACTCACATAGTGACTGGCATCAGGGAGTGACACCTGGGCTGCTCCTCCTGTAAAATGGGGCTCAGACACGCCCCCGGGACACCTTCTGGAGTGACAGGAAACTAACCGCAGGGGGGACCCCCTGTACCACCCTCGCTGAGGACAGGCCCAGGGCCAGGCCAGCATGGCGGCACACAAGCCTGAGAGCGGCTGTCACAGGGAAAGCTCTCCGGGAACATGGCTGGGAGGTGGAGACAGTGGCTCGCAGCGTGGAGAACGAAAAGGACCTGTGCTCCCACGTGGCCGCTCAGGGACACTACACTGAAGGTGCTGCTAGCAGGCACTGGTCAGGCACCAACCTCCAGGCGAGATCCTCAGGGACTGGTACTTGCCCAACTTCCCTCCCACCTCTCTGGCCTCCCCTCTCCCTTTCCCTCACTGGCCCAGGGCTGAGTTCTTGGGCCTCGTCCCTCCCCCACCTGAACCCCTTCCAGAACTCCCCGTGCTGGCAGGTGGGTGGGATTTTCACCCCTCTCACACCTGCCATCATTTGGGCCCCCGAGAGGTAGAGTGGGGTGCCCGAGGCCACAGAGCAGAACACAAGCAGGGCTGATGCTTCTGTGGAGGAGGCAGTCGGGATAGGACCACAGACACTCACCTCCGCCAGGGCCGTCTTTTTCTGGGCCAAACCTGAGGAAGAGAAGGGAGACTTCAGACAGGCAGCAGGGAGTCCAAACCACAGGGCCCACCACCAACCTGGCCCTGCCCGTGCAGGGGCTCCGGGGGGCTCGGGCCTCTGTCACCACGCTCCCGCTCTGACACACAGGCCCTGCGGCCTCACTGGGTACTGTGTTCCTAGGGAGGACCACAGAACCCCTCGTGGGAAAGGGGAGCACAGAGACAGGACACACTGAGATGGCGGGATGACTGGGGGCTGGGTACCCCCCAGGCAGGAACAGCAGGAGAGACCACCCCCAACTCTGACCCACCATTTACCCCAAAGAGATCGGGCCCTTATTGGAAAGAACTAAGGAACTGTATTTACAAAGTGCCACCTTCCTCTGCTGGCAGGAGCAGGGCTTACCCAGGGGACAGCTGCGTCACAAAGAAATCAGGGGAGCGGAGGGTTGAGGTCGGGATGATGCTGTGGGGAGGGCCCAGGGCACTGGAAGCCATGGTCAGTAAGCAGTGGCTGGGGCCCCAGGAAAGGCAATGCTGCCAGCTCTACTGGCCGTCCAGGGAGCCAGCTACGGAAAGCCAGCCAAGGACTGGTTACCACAGCTTCCAGGAGCGCCTCCCCGGCCTAAGAACGCTCACAGGGAGAAGGCAGGCAATTTTCCTCCTTCACGACCAGCCCCTCAACTCCGGTTCCCAGGAGGGAGGCCTCAGGCCCGCCACTGACTCTGAGCCCTGTCCTCACCAGGAACGTGGCTTCTGCTGAAGATCATCTGTTCACTGAGGGTGGTCAGCAGATACGCCCCCTCCCCACAACAGGTGCCCACATGCTGATCCCAGAATGGGCTTTGCAGGCAGAACTGAGGTAAGGCCCCTGGGATGGGGATGACCCCAGATCCCCGGTGGGCAGTGTCATCACAGGGTCCTTGTATAGGCAGGCAGGAGGGGCAGAGCGAATGGTGGAAGAGGCTGCGTTGCTGGCTGTGAAGATGGAGGAAGGGGCCACGAACAAGGATGTGACGCCTATAGAAGCTAGAAAAGGCCAGAAATGGTTCTTCCTGTAGCCTCAGGAAGGAAGCAGCCCTACCCATACCTGGATTTAGCTCAGTGAGATCCATGTCAAACTCCTGACCCCAGAATAAATGTGTGTGGTTTTAAGGCAAGATTGCAGTGATTTGTTTCAGCTGCAACAGGAAACTCACTCACTAGGTGTCACCTGGGAGGGGAGCAAGTGATGACCAGGACAGCCTGGCCACTGCTCTCGGGGGAAGATTAGCAGAGATCTTGGGCTTTGACCCTGAGGGAGGGTGGGTGTCCTGGAAGGCTGTGGTCCCAGGCGCCCTCTGGTGGCTGCAGAGGATGACAGAATGTGGGTGGGGTGAGGGGTTAGGGCAGGAGCCAGGGACCAAGCAGAGCAAGAGGACTGCCTGGTCTAGGTGGGAGCTGAGGGGTGGACCACGGTGGAGGCTCAGGAGCGGGGAGAAATGAGCGGATTCTGGAGTGATCTAAAGTTAGGACAGACAGGCTGAACTCACTGGAGGTGGAGTGAAGAGGCAAGGAGACAGAAATGACTAAGGATTTTGACTGGAGCAATTAACAGAAGGAAGGAGCCGCCAGCTGCCAGGGGGATGGGCAGGAGCAGGTTTGGGGGGGTGGACAGGCGCATTGTGGATGTGTTGAGCCCTCATGTGGAGACATCTAGGGGCAGCTGGACCCCGAGTCTGTAGCTCAGGGGAGCCCTGGCTGGAGAAGGCCTGTGGGTGTCATCAGGGTGCGGACAGAGCTGGAACTCTGACAGTGGACCAGGCAGCCTGGGGTCAGGAAGGAAGAGAGGGAGACCAAAGGGGTCCTCAGAGAGAGGCAGGCCCAGGTAAGAGCTCAGGGGTCAATCTTACCCAGCGGAGGAGGAACCTTCTCTGTTCCAATCAGTGACGGTTGCACATTGTAAAGGTACAAAAAATGCTGAACTGTATGCTTGAAAGTGTGAATTTTATCGATTATGAATTCTCTCTCAATTAAAATAAATATGAAGCAAACCCAAGCTGACATAGGTGCAACCAGGCAGCAGGGGTGGACTCGTGTCCTCTTTTAGCCATGACCACCACCCCAGTCACACCCTGAGTGCCCACCAGTGTATGTGGGGTGCTGAGACACCCTAGGACATGGTCCAGATGGGGAAACTGAGTCTGGGGGGGGGGGCAAATGGCTGAGACTAAGTTCATAGCCACAGGATCCATCAAAGGGGACTCTGGGCTGGGGGACAAAGCCAACATTCTGAGTCACTACCCAGGGCCTCAGACAGGGCAGCTGGACTAAGATACGTCACTTAGATGGGAGTCAGGCCAGACCCTTGGTGCCAACTCCAGATGTCTGAGACTCCCCACCCGGGTATCCTGGCCCCAGGGACGAACCTGGGCTTTGGCACATCCTGAGGCTCTGCCGGTGGCAAGCGGGGGCAGAAGATGCTGGAAAGCTGACAATATTTTTATTGGATGCCCAACAGCAGAACAATTAATGGTTTGCGTTTGGGATGTGGCGAGGGAAGAGGAGAGAAGGCAGGAAGCCAGTGGTGGACCAGGGTGGAACATTCTAGACCTCATGTGGGGGCCCCTGGACCCAGAGCCCACCCAGTGGTGACCACCTGAGTCTTCTGCAGCTCCAGGTCCTTCGTCCCAGGGCTGCCAAAGTAGGTCCCACACCGAGGTCCTGGCTCCTCCACAAATCATACTCCCATGTCCTCCTGCCTTCCCGTCCACGGTGTCTGAATTCTGTGGGGGGCGGTGCAAGGAATGGACACACACCCCCCTCAGGGCACTGGCACCATGCCATTCCTTCTGCCCAAAACAAGCCTTCGCCAGGTCTCCCCAATGCCAGCCCTTGGCCTTCAGGTCTCAGCCCAGCCTCCCCTCAGAGCGGCACCTCGTCACCTCCGGGTGCTGCTCCTCAGCCCACACTCCCGTTCTGCCATCTGCATGTCCCCACCCGCTCTCAGAATTCCTTTTCTGAACCTCACCATCTGCCCCTCACAGCGTGATGCCTGAGGGCAGTGACCCTGTAACTCACGGCCGCCACAATCTTCAGAAGAGGGGCGATGCTCAGGGGTGAGTCTGCTGCAAGAGGTCACGCAGCTGCAGGGGGTGGTGTCACTCCACTGGTTGGTCAGGCTGGGATGGCAGAGACCACACACAGATGTGGTCCTCCCAGACCAAGGCGGGACCAATTATCTTCTGAATGAGCCACCCCACTTTTTTCAAGTAATTAATTTTTAAAACTAACCCGAGGAGGGAAAGAGTCTGACACGTAAAGCTGGGAGAACAGCCCCTATGCAGCCCCTACCTCAGGCCAAGACCTACCCAAGGCACAACTGTGCTGCCTACAGGTCTGGCCCAGCCACTAGCAGACACCTATGAAGGCTTGTTGACTTCTGATGGACAAGGGACAGACAGATCGAGGGACAGAAACAATTCTCCCCGCTCTGCACACACAAGCCTCAGCAGGAACTGCTTCACACACACACACACACACACACTTTATCCAGAGCCCACGTATGTGTGTGTGTGTGTGTGAGTGTATACACACAAACATTTAATTGATCAGAGAGGAAGGGAGAGGGGGAGAAACATCAGTGATGAGAGAGAATCATTGATAGGCTGCCTCCTGCATGCCCCCCACTGGGACCAAGCCCACAACCTAGGCACGAGCCCGACCGGGAATTGAACTGTAACCTCCTGGTTCATAGGTCGACGCTCAACCACTGAGCCATGCCAGCCAGGCTGGAGCTACTTCTTCACATGTTCAATGTGGAAATCAAGAAAGAGAAGCTCCCAAAACACTGTGGGCCCCTAGAACCAGGAAGGGGCTTTAACATATGTCCTCCAGCACCAGGCTCTACCTTTAGTCTGTCCCACTGCTTCCACTCCTCTCAGCTGCAACATCGCTCACTAGGACCAGCAGTCTCCTCAGACCTTCACCACGCTCCTCTGTCCTCCTCACAGCAGCCACCAGAGGCCGCCTGTGAGCAAGAGTCAGGTCCTATCTGCTCTGCCCACAGCTGGGGGGAGCTCCTTGGGGTAAAAGCCCAAGCCCTCCCTGGCCTACAAAGCAGCTGGAGCCTGCAACCCTGCAAAGCAGGAAGTGGCACTGGGGGCCAGCCACAGGCCCCCTCCCTGATGAACCGGAACGGTCTGGCCAGCCTCTGGGCACAGGAGCATGGTCCCTGGAGAGCATACAGAGGTGGGACTGAGGCAGCACAGCAGGGAAGGGAGCTGAGGCAGTCCGCTGCCTGAGTCACACATCATCTAACTTAATGATCTCATTTCACTATCGCATTTTACAGGCGGAAAACGGGTTTGGAAAAATTTAGGAAGTTACTCAAAGGTGAAAAACCAGACAATCGTATCTCAGAATGCAGAAAAGCAATCAACAAAATTTAACATGAACTTGATGTTCAAAAATACTATTGAGAAACTGGAGGGGGAAAAAAGTGAGGGTTTCAGGAAGAACGGCCTTTACTTAAAAATAATTTAAAGCAGCCCTAGCCCGTTTGGCTCAGTGGATAGAGCAGTGTGGATAGAGCAGCAGCCTGAGTACTGAAGGGGTCCCAGGTTCGATTCCTGTCAGGGGCATGTCCCTTGGTTGCGGGCACATCCCCAGTAGGGGGTGTGCAGGGGTGGCTGATCAATGTTTCTCTCTCATTGATGTTCCTAACTCTCTGCAAAAATAAATAAATAAAAAATATATATATTTAAAATAACTCAAAGCAAAAATTCATGGCAAACAAAAATCAACCACAGGATGAGGGGGGTGGCCAAGAGCTTCCACACACCTGGGTGTGTGTGGGGGGGGGGGGGAAGCAGTCACCAATGCAATAAGGCAAGAAAAAAAAGGGGGGGGGGGGCTAGCTGGTTTGGCTCAGTAGATAGGCCGGCCTGAAGACTGGAGGGTCCCAGGTTCGATTCCAGCCAATGGCACATACCTGGGTTGCAGGCTCAATCCCAGTGTGGGGTGTACAGGAG